GGGGCTGAAGTCTTCCCAGGATTCAGCTTCCTAGGTTGGGACCTACAGAGACTTTGAGGCCTCACACTCTTCTTGAAAACCTTATTTACACTAAGGTATCAATGATTCATACAGCTTAAAATGTAGTGGTTCTTGACTCTGGCTTTTTGAAATAATCATCTGAGGGTGTGTCTGTGTAGGAAATGACCATTGTTTTTATATAAATGATACATGCTCTCTCTCAAACAAAACAAAACAAGCAATACAGAGGAGTACAAAGAAGGAAGCAACCAATCCCTCTCCGCTTTAAAAAGCAGCTTCCTAAGGCAGGATTTTTATCCATTCTGTTCTCTGTTGTTATCCCAGCACCTAGACCTTCCCAGCACAGAGCAGATGCTTCATGCAGTCTACCATGCAGCGTTAACATTTGGTGACTGTCATCCATACATAGAGAACTTTGGAGAGGTAAAGAGGTATAGGTAGAGCCCTGGCTGGTGTGGCTCAGCGATTAGAGTCTCAGCCTGAGGACCGAAGTGTCTCGGGTTCGATTCCTAGTCAAGGGCAGAAACCTGGGTTGCAGACTCGATCCCCAGCCCTGGTTGGTGCATGCGGAAAGTAACCAATCAATGTGTCTCTCTCACAATGATGTTTCTCTCCCTCCCTCCCTCCCTTCCACTCTATCTAAAAATCAATGGGAAAATATCCTTGTGTGAGGATTAAAAAGAAAAGATGGGATTGTACTACATCTGCTGCATTTTAAACTAAAAGTATTTAGTTTTTCTTGAGTTTAACAGGAAAGGAAATCCTGAAAAATTGCTGAATCTTAGATACATTTTTACTTTCCATGAGAGAGATTAGTTCATAATGAATTTCTCTAACGTTAAGGAAAAAAATAGTAAGAAACTCATTAAAAGAATGGTATCTTGGGGAAGAAGACTAGTTGCTCCACTTGGGGTAGGCTCAATCATTTCTTGAGATGAATAAGGTGACCACTTCCCTTACACATTCTCTCCTCCTGATTTTGACCCTAATAACTTGGTCAAAGTTTATAACACTTCTATTTTGTACTGTAACCATAATTCTTCGAGTATTCCACCTTAGTCCTGTATTTAAGTGGATTCCATTGCATTTTTAAAGCAAATTTTGTTCCTGAGTTTTACATCTGGAGTCATCTCTTGTGCATATCAGGAAAAACTGGACCGACTTTGAAAGGGACAAAAAAAAAAAAAAAAGACTAAGGGTGTGTTCTTTATTTAAGGCCCCATGACTTTAATGATTGTTTTTGATCTCTGAGAAAATCTAAGTTGTAAAAACTCATGGCAATGCAAGTTATTCTTGTCCAGAGAAATGCAAGTGACTTTTGTCCAGTGGAGTGAGTGATGGTCACCCTGTGACCACTGATCAGTTTTGTCCTATGTGGCAATCCGTGTAGTATTCCTTATCCACCTACTTGTATGTGCTGTTTCAATTTTCTTTGAACCATTTGGAACATACTACTTGTTCCCTAATTATTGGGCTAGTTAAAAACATTTTTAAAAAAATTTTTCTTTATTTTAGAGAGAGAAGAAGGGAGAGGGAGAGAGAGCTAGAAACACCAATGAGAGAGAACATCGACTGGCTGCTTCCAGCATGCCCCCCACTGGGGATCGGGCCCACAACCTAGTCATGTGCCCTGACCAGGAATCGAACTGGTGACCTCTTGGTGCATAGGTTGATGTTCAATCACCGAGCCACACTGGCCAGGCTAAATAAAAATTTTGCTATGTATTCATTTTATACTGTACTGAGAGTTGTAATTTTACCTTTAAAAAATGGACCTTTTGTTTTTTGGTTAATTTTCATTCGAGGATACTTTTCCATTGAATTTTTAGAGAGTGGAAGGGAGGGAGGGAACGAGAGAAACATCAGTGTGAGAGAGACACATCAAATGGTTGCCTTCTGCATGTGCAGACCAGGGCTGGGGATTGAGCCTGCACCCAGGTTTCTGCCCTTGACCAGAATTTAACCCTCGACCCTTTGGGCCACAGGCTGATGTTTTAACCACTGAGTCAAATTGGCCAGGGCAAAAACTGCCCCTTTTAATGGTCAGCTCGATTTCACTGCTCAGTAATTTTATTTTCAAAAAGGCTCCTGGGTGCTATTTTCCCCAACCCTTTCCATGTTGTCTATAAATTGGAACAACTTCTCTGGGTGTAATATTCTTCATTTCCCTTTTTCCACACAACTTCGAAGACTCAGCTCCTTTGTCTACTGGTATTGACTGTTGCTGTGGAAAAAATCTGAAGCCAGATTGACTTTTCTCCCCTTTGCTGGTGACTTGGTGTTTCCTCCTGGTGCCTGCAGTTGTTTTCTGTATCTTCAAGTTCAGTAGCAGCTTGATTCCGTCTGTTCCTGATGCTGATCATTCTTCTATGGCCTCTCAATCCATACACTTGGTTCTTCCTTTGTTTCAGGGAGTTTCTCTAGCTACTCTTTTGCTTTAGCTGTTGGATAATCCACTTTAGGGACTCCACTCCTTTGTATGCTGGAGGTCTGGGTTCCATGGTCATCTTTTCTCACCCTGTTTGATTGTATTTGTCCTTTCTCTCTGAATTCATTGTGATTATTTCAAATTTCTCTCCCTGCTATTTATTAATTTGCTTTTCAGATGTGTGTACTATATTGTAACTCAGTTTTTAGACATGCAATGGTCCCGTCTTGGTCCTCTATGTGCATCATCCGCTCTACAAGTTCTCTTTGCATCTCTTAATGTTATTTTTTAAATCATCTCTTCTCACTTCTAATTCATAGTCTCATTAACTTTTCTCTATCCTGAAGCCATTTGTTTCAAGGAAGCTGCTTTTTGATCCCTTTCAACTCATGTCTTCATGTGATTTCCTTCCCTTTCCTGGCAGTTGGCAGGGTGGCCTTGCATGTTTTTTTCCATTTTGTTCAGTTAATTTAGCAACTCCTGCAGACATTGTACTCATTCTGATATAGGAACCAGACTGCATTCCCCTCGAATGCACAGGAGAAAAGGGAGAGGAGAGTCACCCACTGAGACCACCCTTGCTGGGGTCCACAGGTCTTCTCTTTCCTGCCATCTGAAACACTGCATCCCAGGCCCCCTGCCCAGCTGGGAGTGTGTCCTGCTCACACACACAGTGTGGCCAGGACCGTGAAAATGAAGGGGGCTGGAGGCCAGTGCTGTGGAAATAGACTTGGTTTATTGGCACATTGTTTTCATAAACTATCGTTGTGACGCATTGTGCCAGGTACTGGGATAGGGAAGAGTCTGTGTTCTCCCCTCGCTCTGCCTTCTAAGGACTGTATTCTTCTGCTAGGTGGCCTCTTACAAATGCACATCTCCAGGTGCTGCCCACCCAGAGGCCAAGAGAGACTCTGATTTTGAGGTTCTGGGTGGGACCTGTCCCTCCGCACCCACAGTAATGTGGGTGTGCAGGCTTGGGGTTGAGGACTGCTGAGTCATCGACCAGAGTCATTTGCATTTTTGTCCAATTAAAGGAATGCAGTTCTGATTATGTAAAAGGACATGGCTCTGAACATGTCACAGTTTTGGTATGTCTGAGTGGGTGGGCAAATGAGATCATTCATTCTATTGGTGACGCACAGAGAGGGGAAGTGACTTGCCCAAGATCACACAGCAAATTAGCAACAGATAGGCTTGAAGAATTGGAAATGCCAACCCAGAGGCGGAGACTGGGGATCAGCGTAGCCTACCTCTGAGGACAGGAAGGCCTCTGTCCATGGCATGATGACCTCCCATCTCTGGGTCTCGAAGAGAGGAAACGGTTGTAGCTCTGCCCCTGGGGAACTTTGAGCTTCACAGGGTGGTGGCCAGGCAGGAGGCAACCACCGATCTCAGCCCCCCTCCCCCCGCAGGAAGAGCGATCCCACTTCCCCCACGCCCGTCTCATCCTATTCGCCCACTGCCCGGCAGCCCTGCTCTCAGCATGAGGAGGGCTGACCACAACCAGGTGGCAAGTGGAGCCATCCTGTTGAAGAAGCGGCATCAGAAAAGTGGGGGATGTGGGGTTGGCACCGGAGAGAAAGTGGGTCCCCCTCTCCCCAGGGAAGAGGCTGCAGAGCTGTTTTGGCCATGACTGAGCAGTATAGCTTAACTCTCTGGTAAGAAGACTGGGCCAGGACCCTCAGGGCGGTTGGGCCAAGCTGTTGGGGGCGTCCCGGGTGTTGTCAGCCCCTGGCTTTGTCCTTATCCTGCCCCGTTAGCCTGGTGACAGACTTCAGGGAGCCCATAACAACCCCTTCACTGGTCCAACCCTTACTCATTTCAGGGCCGACCACGCCTCAGCTGCCTCAAGAAAAATAACAAGACCCTCTCCACAGGCTGTAGTGAGGACTCTTTCCTGTAAAGACACGCAAGAAGCATCAGCACGCAGTAACAGAGGCACTGAGCTCAAAATAGATCCATTCCACAAGGTACCAAGAAATAGTCCACTGGAGATTTTTTGTGAGACGAGAAAAGGAACCTCATCATTGCCATAAAGCTGCAATTTAATTTCTCTCTGGGACATTTCTTTTCCTGCGAAATTCCTCCTTTTCGTGTTCTCCCACCCCACCTGTCCCTGGAGGCCCTTCTATTGGTCAGTCCCAGTCCTCCGTTCGTACAGCACCTACCGAAAGAGGGCTGGCAGAGCCCCCCAAGTGTGCCCTGGAAATGTGTAAATCATGAGGATGCCTACAGCGTGTATGGTGCTTATCCCGCACGGGGAAGTGCTGGAAGCAACCTTGTGGCTAACGTGAACCCATCAGACACAGGTACAGCCAGGGAGGAAGTGAGAACTCCGAATTTACCTCAGGCTGCCCAGGCCAGCTGCTCCTAAAGCAGACACTGAAAGCATCAGCTACAGTCATGGGCTTCTTGACTTCACAGCAACCCTGGGAGGAAGATAGGCCCGGTGGCCACCACCAGCCCGCAGAATCCCATTTCTCAGAAAGGAAGCGAGGCTAAGAGAAGCTAAGGGCTCATGTGGCTGATGAGCGACAGAGCCTGGACTCACCCATTCTGCAGGCCCTTCGGCCATTTTTGCAGGGACTGCACCATGGACTGCACACATCCTTCCATGTCTGATTCTTGGCCTCCACGGCCGCCCCCTGAGCAGTCCACTTGCTGGGTCTGTGTTAGGGAAGGTCAGCTCACTGTTCCACAAGGTATCTCCCTGAAAAGATTGCAGACCTTTTATTATTATGTCTAATTGTCATCCCATTTTTGCCAGAGGCTTTATGTTCCCCGATTTGCTCTCCCCATTTTACTGTGTTGAATCCTCTCCTCACTTAGGAGAAGGCCTGGCTGTCGTGGGAGGAGTTGCAGATCTGAGTAGCTCCTCTCGTCGTCCCGGTGTCTTGGTTTCAGAAAGGCCCCAGGATGCTTGGGAGTGGCTGCACTGTGCAGGGAGCCTGATGAGGCCAGTTTAAGGAAAGTCATACCCCTTCTCCCAGAAGTCTGCACAGACACACGAAATCAGTACATACAATGTAAAGGTTTATACACCCTCTCATGTCCATCCCTTGAGCTCCCAGGGGTCTGGATTGAGACCTTCTATGTTATGAGGTACCATCTGCCAATCTCCAGAACCCCAGAATCTGGACGCTTACGATGGTTAGATAGCTTGGTGTATCCATGCCTGAAGGAGGCTTCTTTTTCTGAGAGACATCTTATAAAGGGATTAATTTGAGAATAGCTGAATCCACTGAGTGAGAACTATGTCCAGTTTACTCGCCAGTAAACTTCTGCACAAATATGTGCAGCAAAAAACTAATATAGAGAGCGGGTCTATGCTACAACAGTTCATGTTCAGTGAGTGCCAGGCCCTATGCTACATGCTGACCAATGCAGTACCTTGTTAAATGCTCATAACAATCAATTCAATAGGGTTATGCTATCATGATCTCTCTGAATAACAGAGAAGTTAAGTAACTGACTCAAGGTCACACAAGGTTGACACAAGGTTAACTCAAGTGGCCTTTAACCTCAAGCACTCTGACTCCAGAGCCATATAGTCTTTCTGCCTATGAACTGGTGAAACTCACAGCTGGGAGAGGCCGGCCCCATCCTGTTCTGAGACTTTGTTCTCAGTTCGGCAGCTGGGTCCTATTGGGTCTAGGTAGAGGGCAGGCTCTAAGTAAACACAGAAATGATGTTTTTCTGGAAAACCTCTATAACACATTGGCGCCCCAGGCCCCCTGTCTAGGAGTCCTCAAAGGGTCATATCATGAAGTGGCATTTGCCTGGCCTGGTAGGGAGACAGAACTCCACTCTCAGGCAACTTTGAGGGGTAATATGACCCCATGTGACCCCACAGGCTGGCAAGGCCTGGGAAATGTCAGGTTACACTCATTCGTACCATTTTTAAGAAGGTTCCTTTGCCTCCAGTTCACCCAGCAAAGTGCCTGCTGGGAACGGCAGTTCTGTTTCTGCTTCCTGTGGCCGAGCCTCCCTTTAAGGTGCACGTTGGTGCTGGAAGTGGCTTCAGAGCCTTGGCTTTCTCATGACGCCAGACCCTTTCCTGCAAATGGCTCCCCCCAAGCAAGTCTGTTCCACTTCCACAATCTTAAACACCGTTCAGACAGTTCCCACTCACCCGACGGCAGATGGAGGTAAGTTAGCCATCACGGGAAACCAAGGATGAAAGAGAGGACGCCTTCACAAAGGCCCAAAGTGGAAATTCCCAGAAGCTGAGCTTTGCACTTACCCTGAGGGCTGACACCTGGTTTCCTTTCCTCTGCCGAGGCCAGTGGTGCCGGTGGTCCCGTGGTTCCGAAAATGTGGGCCGAAGTGGCGGGCAGCAGCAGCAGCACCAGGGAACTTGTTAGAAATGCAGACCCCTGGGCTCCACCGCAGACCTGCTGACTTCAAAGCTGTGTTTCGTGGGCCCTCCTGTCATGCTGAAGCTGTTAAAAAACCCACTGCCTGGGGCCACTGCCATCTCAGCTGGGAGCGTGAAGCTCCGACAGGTAGGAATAACTGAAGTTTGAATTTCACCCCCAGCCTGCATCTTGGTCCCCCCAAAGCCTTCCCTACCCAGGAGTGGACTCCAGATATAAACGAGACCAGGGAGATGGGAACAGAACCTGATGATCGTATAAGTCTTAGCACCTCCAAATGAATACATGGGAAAATCAGGATTTCTGGGAACTAATAAGACACTAATAATAAAAAACATCAACACACACACACACACGGAAATCTAGGTGAACACGGAGGCCACGTTCCCTTGTCTTGGGAAAGCCAGCGTAAGTGGGGAAAGGGCGAAGCCTTCACTGACCGGCCTGCCACTGTGCTCCATGGGCCTGGCTCTGCCAAGTGGGCTGCAAGAGTCTAAGGTACAACAGGCCCGAGGCCCCTGTCCCCATCCTCCCATGGGGAGGACAGTCTAGGCAGAGGCCTTCAGTGGTTCCCTCATTTACCCATTCACCCACCCAGCCACCCAATAAAGGTTGGTAGGCACTGCTGTGTGCCGGGTCCTCCTGGCCAGAACGACAGTGAGGGGCAAAGCACAGGCTTCAGCTAAGGACAGTGGGGTGAGGGCCCTTGCATGCTGACTGGGTCCCCCTTCCCCTGTGCAGTACCCTCTCTTTTAGCCAGAGTTCCTACTGTGCTCCCCATGTTCACTGGGCAGGTGAATCTGCGCAGAACCCTTGTTCCCTCAAAGTGAGGAGGGTGGCCAGGTAGAGAAACATTGTTTTCTGCTCAGGAACGGGGTCCCAAGGTGGCCAAGTGGCTGTCCCCTTGCTTTATCCTGATTATAAGAATGATACCGAGCTTGTTGTAAAAAGTCAAGCTATTCTGAAAAGTAGGTCACCACCGTTAATATTTTGGTGAGCAACCTCTCTCACACACACAAAGGTAAAGTTACAAATAAAATCTTCGCTATCCACATTGTCTGTAACCTGTTTAAAAAAACAAAACAAAAAAAAACCTGTCTTTTACGAGATATACAACTGCTGAGCACCCTGTTGTGTATGTATGGCCCTCCCTGTAGCCCATGTGGGAATCAGGGTCCCAGGCTGGGTGGGCAGCATGGCAACGATGGGACAATAACATGTCCTGCTCAGCAAAATGTTGTGGTATGACTTTCTAGGTCAATAAGCACAGCATTCATCGCATGCTCTTAAGTAAAAAATTAATTATTACAGAGTTAGCCTTTGTGTGTGTGTGTGTGTGTGTCAGGGGGTGGGGTGTATTTGACAAATTACTTGCCAAGCTTGGAAGCAGTGTGGGCTGGAGAGAATACATGCACACACATGCACCCCATGCACTGTAGGAGATCCTCTGTCCAGGGGGCTGAAATAAGGCCTGGACCAGGGGCCCTCAAATTAACCACTCAGGCTACAGAGCATTCTCCTGACAGGGGGGTGGGGGAGGGGGTGGGCAGAGACTGCTGGTATCACTGATGCAGGAACAGTCTCTCTCTGGGATGTCTTCAAAGCATGTTGACAGCCCCGTTCCTGCCCCTTATCCCCTCCTTGGTCAGGGATCTGTCCATTCCTGTCACCTGTTACCCTGAAAGCTGCCACGTCTGTCACTGGACAAACAAGAGCATGCTGCCTGTCTGCAGGTGTCCAGCCTCACCCTCTTCAATCCTTTTCTGACCCTGTGGTCAAGAGCAAGTTTTCTAATTCCTCAAATCAGACCTGTCTCTCTCCGGTTTCAGTGCCTTCCCTGGAGAGAAGTCGGCGCTCCTCAGCCAGGACCAATTCGGCAGGCTGTTCTATCTCTCGGTCTGTCCTGAGCCCTGGTAGTTCCCCTCACAGGCTCTGCTCCCTCTTACCTCCAGCCCTTTCTCTCTGCACTTCCCTTTCACTTGGAGTCTCTACTTTTTTTTTTTAAATCCTCACTGGAGGGCACTTTGTGCATTTATCTTCAGATAGAGCGGGAGGGAGAGGGGGGGGAAGAGAGAGAGAATCATCGATGTGACAAAGACACATCAACTGGTTGCCACCCACACGACCCCAACAGGGACAGGGACAAACAGCAACCGAGGTACGTGCCCTTAGCGGGAACTGAACCCGGGACTCTGGTCAGCAGGCCGACACTCTAACCACTGAGCCAAACCAGCCAGGGGTTTACTTCTTATTCTCAACTCCTCCCCATTCTTCAAGGCTTCAATTTCACTTCTTGTGATTCCCAGACTGGACTAGGTCTCATCTGGGGGCTCCTATAGCACCCCCAACACCCAATACTGCTTCTGCTCTTCTCCTGGGGTATGAGAGCATTGGCTGTTTCCCTCACTGACTGTGACCTCACCGAGAACCAGGGCCAGGCCTGTGTCTCTGCATCCTGGCCATCAAATGTTTGTGGAGTATCTGATCAAAAGGGTACCCACAACTACTTTGGGCTGCAGGGACCTGACATTACATTCACTGTGCAGATGAGAAATTGAGGCTAAGAGAGGTCCCAGAGCTTGCAAAGACCACTCAGCTAGTTTGGAAGGAGCAGGGTCGCTAGGGACTGGTGGGGACAGATGGAGTGTGGTCTCTGTTCACAGTACACACAGTCATGTAGGCGGTGAGTTGCAGTGGGGCTCACGTGGGTGGCCTTTTCTCTGTCACGAACTGTTAAACCACGGTCACCGCAGACACTCATGCTTCTCTCTTGAGAATAGCAGGGTTAGTGCCTCCCAAGTCACGAGAGTCTGACAGCCTCTCACTGGGGAGAAGGCCCAAGGGTGTGAGCAAAACTCCAGCCCTCGGTCTGTTTTTCAGAAGTGCTTCCTTCCAGGTTCTGTTAGTGGAAGCTCTTCAGACCCTTCCTGACTGCAGTGAAGGTCACCATCGAGGCTCATGGCTCGGTTCTCTGACCCACGGAGGGTCCCCATGAGAGGATGGGACCTATGGAGCTCCACCAGGGTCTCATCATGGGGCCTCGAGGCTCACTGATGCCTGTAGCCTGTGTGTGGGACCAACAGGGCCGGACAACTGGGGAGAACTGCATCCTGAATGGGTCCAGGCCTACGGGCCATTGAGTCACTGAATTTTCTATGGAAGGTAGAACCACGCTGTGATGACACCAAAAGCTCATCTTCAATACCTGCAGGCCACGGGGACCCAGCCTCTGGCCCTCATCCCCGCCTGGGGGTGGCCTCCTCTCCTGGGAGTTCTGTCTTCCCTGCCATGACCAGAATAGGGGCCTATTGCCTGGGAGTTTGTTCCCTCCCTCCTTCCTCTCCTGCCAAGAGAGAACATGGGTCTTGCTGAGAAAAGCTGTTCTGGGGCAGGGATGAACAGGAAAATGAGTGCTAGAGAAAGCAGGAGCTTTCTATAGGCCAACAGTGCTTGTCCTAGCAACTTCGGTGGTGCCCTGCAGACGTAGAAATTGAATCCTTGCCACATAGCAACCGAGGGCTGAGCCTATGGACTGAAGCCCCTAGCAGGGTCTGGGTCTCAAGAATACCCCACTAACCAGCCTCTCTGAACCCTGTCTGTGAGGCCACAGGGAGGCTGTGGCTGCTACAGCGGGAGAAGTGGCTGCTGGAGCCTCCTGGGGACTTCACGCTGGCCTCCATGAGGGCCCACAGGCCACTGTCCTCTCCCAGAGGCCTCTGCCAAGATGGGAGCCCAGTACTGAGTACCATGGCTGCTGCTTAGAGCTGGAGAGTCTGAGCTTGCGCTGGGAGCCTCCCAAGGATAGGATGGACTTCCCAGCAACTCCAGCTGTGGGAGAGGCAGCGGTTTCTTATGAAGAGCAAGGGACCTGGACCTCAGCCTCCGCTTCCTCTTCTGGAGAAAAACCACAGCTCAGCTGTGCTGTCTAATTCTGAAGCTTCTGTTGTCCCTAGAGCTTGCCCCAGGGGCCTACAGTTTTGAGCAGGTGGCTCTGGATGAAAAAATGGGGTTGGAAGAGGAGCTTGGATTGTCCAGGGAAAAATCACAGACCTGGATTCCTTATATTGTCCAAACTGAGCACTTGAGAGAATGAAAGGGCACTGTCTTAACTATTACACCAGGGCAGCAGATGTAAACTGGAACTCTTCAGGGCAAACCAGGGTGTACGTTACCCTACTTACTACCACTTCCTAGCTGTGTGGATTCAGGCAATTATATAACCTCTCTGAATTCTGGTTTTCTGCATTAAAGAGGCCAGTATGATGTGCCTGCCTCCCAGGGCTGTTGAAGGGAAGAGTAAATTAAATTATTCTGTGGCTGCCAGAGGCCCAGGTTTTGGCCAGAGCAAGTCCACACACTAGGCAAGTCTCCTGCAATTACCCCATGTGGACGCAGACACAATCTCCAGGGGAGTCTGGGGAGGCTGGAGGGTGAAGATAAGGAGGCCATCTGCATTTTCTGTGCCTGCTCTGGGGACTGAGGAGTTGAGCAGAGCATGTTCTAACCCAGAATTTAAAAAAAGAGCTGGGTGTGGAGCTTGGTTCTGCCATTTGATCCAGGGATAGTCAAAGGTCTCCAGGCCTCAGATTCCTGCCGGAAGGTAGAGATGAGTTGGCTCTGTCCTCAAGGCTGTGGTGAAATACGCAGGCGACAGTGCTGTGGGTGTGCTGACTGTTCAAAGCCTCTTCACTCCATCTTTGGGTCTCCCATTGCACTGCCTTGATCCATCTTCCCTGTTGTCCAGGAGACCCTGGAGGCAGAGTGTTCTGAGGGGATAGTGGTCTCCAGTACCCAGGCAGATGAGGTCCTCCGTGAAGGAATGAATGAATGAAGTCAGAACCGACAATTGACCCGATATCTGTGGCATCAGCTCTGTGCAGACGCTGCCCCAATCCCTCAACGCCAGAAATACTGTAGGTGGAAGGGCATGACCTCCTGCCAGATGCCCGTGTGCACTGCCAGCTTGGCAAGGTGACTCCACACTGGAGACATTATCCCAGCAGCCTTAACTACTGGCTACTTTGTCTTCCATTTCCTCTCCTCACTCCAAGGTTCTTCTGGCCACTTGCGTCAGGACTTTCTGGAAAGATGGTTTCTTGAAAAATGTCAGCCCTGGAAGGCATCCTGAGGTAACAGTGCACAGCCCTCAGCTGACTCCTGTCCAGTCTCCTCCGTTAAACGTGGAGCCTAAGGCCTCGTGTGGCAGTCAGTAGGTGTGCAGCTCCAAGGGTGGGGTCTCTGAGTGGGCACAGGGCTACTGGAGTACTGAGTCTTCAGGCAGAGACCACAAGGCTCCCAGCCAACTCTGCCCTCCCACCTCTACCCTGTTGACTGAGGTTAAGAAGAGAAGTGGGACACCCAACAGGTCACCATGGTTACCGTGGCCAGAATATAGCTAAGAAACAAGATGTCTCCAAAATGGGGTACTGAAGCTTCAATAAGAGGGGCCAAAATTCTACTTTAAGGCTTTCTGGCTAATCAGTCTATTGATGAAGGGTCTTGAAAAGTAGGCCCCTAATAACCGAAGGAGTACACCAACATTTAATATATTCTTACCAACAGAAATGTCTGACTCCTTTTTGTTGCCAGATTTGGGGATATTATTCAGTGTTGACAATTCGATAGGCAAAAAAAATGGCATCTCATTATTTTACTTTGTATTTTTATAAAGACTGAGCATGATCCACATATTTGTGGGCCATTTTTATTTCTTGAGAAGAGACTATTCACATCCTTTTTTCTACTGGTCTGTCTTTTCTTAACGATTTATAGGTGTTCTTTGCATACTGAAGACATTAATCCTTTGTCATATTTTTTCCTATTTTCTGTTTGTCTTCTAATTTTGTTTACATCTTCTACAGAAAGTTTCACAGTTTGATGTCTCATGCGTGTCTTTTCCTTCAGCTTCTGTGCTTCATGTGGGGCTAGAATTTCTCTCACTGAGATGATTCAGCTGCTGCTTCAGGCGTTCTCAGAAACAACAGCCACAGGCTTGCAGAGGCAGAAAATCATGCTTATTCAAAAGAAAATGTTTATTTTAAAATAGAACTGTCACCCCAAGCATTTATTTAAACATTAATAGATATGGGTAAAAATTACAAATGATATAATAAAACTAACAGCTTTATATTCACAGATGGTCAGATGCTGACAAACAAAAAAACAAGATCTCTGTACACTGAGATTTGGTTGTTATGAAAATGCATATGATGGCCTGAGGAATGGTCTATTTGCAGGCTTTGGTGGTGCCATAATCCCCAATTTTCTACTGGCTCCTGATGTCACCTGAGAACCAGGCACAGTTGATATTGGCCCAAGTACGGTGGAGGATTTAATTTTAGGAGATATCTTTCTGCAGGTAGTGGACCTCCTAAAATGTGACAAAGAAAAATGAAATGTTAAATAAAACCCGAAGTGAATAAACAGTCTTTTTTTTTCTTAACCTGAAAGAGCTGTATAACCCATGATTTTCTCTGGTCTTACATGTCTGTCAGTTCCCTTACAATTGAAGGAGGAGCAGACTGCTGCTCTTCAGACAAATTTGTCTTCCCCAAATATCAAGGATTGTTTCTGAATTCTGTGCCTGGAGGCCAAACCATGTGCCTTCTCTCCACCCACACCTTTCACAGCTGATAATCAGACCTGCTCCTTCTGGACAGCTGAGCCCAAATCCACATTATCTGATCTATTCTGATCAAATAAAGAAAGTGAGGGTACCTTGTTTTAAGGCTCCAAATGCCCAGACAATAGGTACTCTGGAATCACTGTGCTTGCACAGTCCAGAGAAAGGTAGCTGGGTGTGTGGAGATGGGGCGGAGCAGAGCTGAACCTCTTCCTGTCCAGCCCCAGCCAGGGGAAGGCTGTAGAAGTGGTCCCCTGGAGAGGCCGGTGAGTGGCTCCGGTCTGGCACGTCTCTGTCATGGCCACCACGTCGCCACGTCACCAGCAGCTTGCTGGATTGCCTACACTCCCAGATCTGTGTGCTTGCACCTCCTACTCGCTGCCTTTAAAGCCAGAAGAAGCCCCTGCCACAGCCTATTACGAAGTCCTTCAGCACCTCATTCTCCTCACTGGCCTGAAGATAACAGCTATTCCCTTTTTTCTTCCCACAAAGTAAAACTTAAAAAAAAAAAAAAAATCACAGGGCCGCATGTTTACAAGGATAACAGGCAGCAGCATTCTCTATAGAAGCCTTTTCTTACGCAAGAATTTCCTGCTGCTTTGTAACCAGGCTGAATTCATGCCCAACACTAATTCCATAGCGATGGGGCAGGCAAGTGGCCACCTACCTCTGAAATGGCGGGTGGGAAGGGAGTGGGCACCAGTCTGTGGTAATGACACTCTGGTGGGGCTAGGTGAAGAGTGGTTTTTCAACATTGTTAAACTCTTGCTCCAGGGCAGCATTACTGCAGAACTGGCAAAGATGTGCTAAACCATTAGAGAAGCAACCCTGAATTTCCCTATGCAGATTTCCTGCTAAGATATTAAGCCCAGAGCAAAAACCTGCTGTTTACATTGCTTTACAGAATGAATCTGCCAGCAGCAGCCGCCATCTCTCCCAGGCCATCCATTTTACTCCCACTTAGAGAGCCAGGTACACAACTTCTTCATTGTGTATTATTCTGTAGAGGAAAAGCTCCTACGGTAGGGTGGAGAGTTAAGGACCTTGACAAACAAAGAGCCATGTTTATTCTGTCCCTGGGCAGAGACTAGCAACCAGGTGAGCAGAGTGGAAACTGTGGAAATCTTTCAGAGAGGCTAGGAGAAAATGAGAATGAAGCACAGACACAAGGAGGTTGTTACAAAGGTAAAAGAAGTAACAAAATGTACTGGTTTTAGCCAGTAGGGACCAGAGAAGAATCCCATCATAGACACACAGGCTAATTAAAAACCAGCATCAAAACTGGGACTGGGCCCTGGCCGGTTTGGTTCAGCGGTTAGAGCGTCGGCCTGCGGTACAGAGAGACCCGGGTTCAGTTCCCACTAAGGGCATGTACCACGGTTGCAGTTTGTCCCCGGCCCTGCTTGGGTCGTGCGGGAGGCGGCCACTTGATGTGTCTCTTTCACATCGATGTTTCTCTCCCTCCCTCCCTCCTACTCTATCTGAACAAAAAATGGAAAAATGTCCTGGGTGAGGATTAAAAAAAAACCTGGGACTGGTTTTTGGACAAGTGTGAGCTTTCCTACTTCTTATTCAATCAGGTTCTAGACCACAAGGCAAAGGGCTTCACTCTTATAAACAAAAGTTGTGAAAATTGAATAAGGGAGCCAATGGTAATGAGCACCAAAATATGACTTGCTTTGTTCTAATAAGTAAAAATGGGATCATAATTATTTTTAAGGTTTCTCCATGGACGACTTGCAAAGTGCTCTGGGCCAGGGTGGGCGAGCCAGTGTCCAGTCCTATCTGTGAAACTGAGACCAGGTTGGTACAACCTCACAGAAGCCTTCCCCAGGTCAGGCCTCAGCGTCCTCATCATAAACCCCAGGGGGTTGGACCAAGATGCCTTTTAAGGACTCTTACTCTGTGTGGGCTCCTGAGGAAATGAGTATTTCCCAAAACAGAGAAATAAGTGAAGAAAATAAAATGTCTCCACTAAAGAACATCAGCTGGTCACTTGCATATTAAAAACCACAAAATTAAACTAACATTTACTAATGCCTTTAATTTCTGTACCCTGGCAGACAAATTAGCACATACAAGACGTTTGTTTATGGACTTAACAAGAAAATGACAATTTTGCCTTCCCTTCTCTTCCCTCAAATTTTTTTTATTACCCAGAAGGAAAAGAGGTACAAAAACTGCAAAGAAAAACACAACAGCTTGCAGAAATTTACTAAGAATTTGTTTCCCTTTCTGCAACAAAATGCAGTTATCTGGGGGGTAATTTTCTAGACTAATGGGATGGTCAAGATCCTGCCAGACCTTACTTACATGGTGAGGACAGAGGGTGTCCTTGCAGAAGATAGGAAAAGGGGCTGTTAGAAACAGTGCAATTATGAAGAAATACAAATGCTGCCCACATCATCACCCAGCACCTGACAATGCTATGTTTGTTTCCCCTTGGTGTGCAGACAGGGCCCCATTGCAGACAAGTCCCAGCAGAGGGGCCAGGCACACGTGGGAAAGAGGGGATGGAAGCCATTCATGCAGACCCTAGTGGCGTGGCTTGCTTGACCTTTTGGTTTTCCTGTGTGGCCTCTTCTCTGCTGCCCTGAAAAGACCAGGAGGTTGGCTTTCCTAGGTATGAATGAATGGCCTCCAGGTGGAGGCCCACAGATTCTGCAGCAATCAAAGCAGTATAGCAAGTACTGATAGGAATCATAAAAGCAATGAGGAAACAAAATCTTTTATTTGATCAGCATATGATTTATAGTCTTTTAGGTGGAAAAGTTTCTTAAGAAGAGCAATTATAAAAACATTTTTTTTCTTAAGTTAAGGAAAAAATTGTGGTTTTTGCAAACTAGAGAATTTTAGTGGTAATCGATTTAGGAGCAGATTATTTAAAAAGTCTGAAGCAAATGTTGACTCAAACCTTAACCTTCACTCCATGAATTAGAGAGGCAACATTTAATAATGGCTTATTTTTATAAATGCTTCAAAGGAAACCCGAGCAGTTGTACTTTGGTACTTTTCTCCCTGATACCCTGTATTGCAGAACATGTTGCAGAACTTACGCTTTTGTCTTGAAATCACTGAAACCAGTTTTTCTCCTTTTAGACCTTTGGCAGGCCGGCATCCTTTTCCTCTTTCTTTCATTTTTGGTTTTATTTGCAAAGTAGTGAGAAGATATGGGTGTTTCCTCATTGAACTCCTCAGAGCCATTTTTCTCGGTGCCTCTGCTGCTGGATGAGCTCATCCGTGGGGAGCTGTCCTCAGCTACAAAAGGACAATGCAGACCTTTATTGGTGATACCTGCTGGTCCCAGTGTTGTTACTCTACATGGAGACACACAACATGGGGCAGTTCAGCCGACACCTACCTGCTTTCCTGGTGTCTTCTTGCCACATGGATTCGACAATTGCGCAAGAACTGAACATTTCTTTTTTTTTTTATTTCACAAAGCCTCAAAGTGCTCAATGGCAATTTATTTTTTAAAGAAAGAGGATCAGCCCTGGCCAGTTTGGCTCAGCAGTTAGAGCGTTGGTCTGCGGACTGGACAGTCCTGGGTTCAGTTCCCGTAAGGGCATGTACCTTGGTTGCAGTTTGTCCCCATCCCTGGTTGGGGTTGTGTGGGTGGCAGCCAGTCGATGTGTCTCTCTCACATTGATGTTTCTCTCTCTCTTCCCCCGTCTCTCCCTCCCGCTCTATCTTAAGATAAATGCAAAAAATGTCCTCGGGTGAGAAAAGAGAAAGAGAGAAAGAAGGAAAGAAGGAAAGAAAGAGGATCAGAATTCATTAAAAAAGCTGTGATACTCTTTAACTCAAGTAGAGACCTCAGTTTAGCTCGTGCTGTTGTGTATGACCAATACCCGTTACTGTTTGGGCAGTTAATCCTGATAAGTTCTTTGAAAAGAATAATGTGCTAGATAAAAGATAATTTTATTTATCACTTTACATATGCTGAAAAAAACCCAATATAAAAGAAACATAAACTATGCTCTGCACCTCACTTTTGAATAAGTTACTTAGTAAATGAGTGTCAGAAAATTCCTGACCATATTTCACCCTTCAAAGACAAAAACACCTCTTTGCATAATAATTGTAAACATTTCACACACCATGCAGGAAATGCAAGCACACACTTGCAAAGAAGATTGTAACTTCCACAGGTATTTGCATTCCAACACATGGAAAGAACGTGAAACCTCCAGTCTGCATTTTCTGAAGGAAGGTTATCTCCTGGCTGGTTTGGTTCACCCTCAGGCTACCCTGATGCCCAGTAGGAAGGGCAGGAAGGGCCCTGTCCCTCCAACACTGGTTTACACAGAAAGACACTACAGCTGGGGCAAAGAGCACTGTCAATCCAGCTGTGGGACTTTGGGGAAATAAAAAGCCTCACCCGTTTCCACCTGTAAAATGGGTGTTGGTGAGAATTGAGTGATACAAAATAGACAAAGCTCTTGGCACAGTGCCTGTCCCTCAATAATGGCAGCAATCATCACCACACTGGCTGTTTCCACAGAGCAGCCCTGTCTCATGTGGGAAAAACTCTTCCCAACAAGTCATTATACTAGACAAACATGAAGTTCCTACCAAGAGACTGTCACCATTGTCAAAGCAAGGCCTTTAATGAAATAATGACTATACAGAGGAATTTATGAAAACCTTACTTTTCAGCATTTTGTTAATGGATTAAAAATGATTATGAACAGACAGAACTTGAAGCACATGCTCACTCATTTCTCAGCCTGCTTACCATTTCCATTAGCCTTGAGAAAAAAACCCTACAGAGATCCCTTACAGAAACAGGATAAACACTGAACCTGGCCTGTCTGTTGTGTTTTATCAAATGGCAGTACATTAGAGGAGGCCATAAGAATCCTCCTGTCCTGTCCCCTATGTCTTCCTTTGTTCTTGATTTTCTCTTAGTCAGTGCTTTCTATAGCTCAGGGATGAGGTTCGTAATTAGAGGTACTTCGTGACATAACTAATGTAACTTTTGGGAACATCTGCTAATGATGCACTCCCTTGGGCAGATTCTTTCAACGGCTAACAACAATAAGATTATCTAGAATTACAATTACATGTTCATTTTTCCAAAATATTTAAACTCCACTCTAAAATTTTATCTTTAAACATGGTTTTCAGATAATATGCTCCTTCCTCAGATAAGGAACTCTAAAATTTTTTCTTTAAACATGCTTTTCAGATAATATGCTCCTTCCTCAGATAAGGAAACTGAAGCACAAAGAGGTTATTTGTAGCCTGCCAAGGACCACAGAGTGAGATGGTGGCAGACTTGGGAGCTGCACTCAGCACTCTGGATTCCTCGAGCATTTGCCTTAACAGAACCAGCAACTTCTGGGCTCAAAGGTCCTCCTTTGGGTCCTATAAGCAGGTTCAGCAGCTGGCATCGCCCAGGGGGCCGGAGCACCAGTGTCCTGTAAGAGGCGCCTGGCACAACACTGAGGACTGCCCTGAGCACTTGAGGTCAGAGTGACAAGGTGGAGGAAGCATGAACACACCTGGAAACCATAGAAATTTAATCCAGTGAAACGCATCACTTAACATTAAAACAAGCTTTTAGAAAACAAGTATTTTGCTGTATACTGAACCTGGTAATGTCCACTCAGAGTATTTCTGTAATACTGGAATCATTTCTGCACCATATTTTTCCAGTTTGTCTTCGGTAACACCATCAATTTGAAGCAAAACCTCAGGATCAGAAGATAAAGATTCTGTGCATGAACATAAAATCAGGAATTTAAATTACCACCAATAGAAAACCCACTGAATTCATGCTCATTCACCCATTTAGCACATGTTTGTTAAGTGCCAACCAACTGCAGAGCACTAGGCACATGAGCCAATTTCCTACAAAGCAGCTGGTGCCAACAGAGGCAGCAGAGAGGCCCAGAGGATAGGGGTCCATCATCTAATTCCAGAAGCAAAGGTGCTTAGTTAAGTCAGGGCAGAGAGGGGGAGAGAGCAAAGGACACGGGGGAAACTGGAAGGGAGTCTTGTGTGCTGTGCCTCAGAGTTTAAGCAAACTTTGCTGTCTTCTCACAACGAAGGCTGTTTAGGGTAACACCCACATTCATATTTCCAGCTTTGAATTCTTCCCTGCACTCCAGATTTGTATATCCTATTCAAAAAGTCTGTAACTGATTTCTTACGAGCCCCTCCCCACTCAAACCTGTTTTTCCTCCAGTCTTTCTGCCTGTGGGGTAAAGTCGGTAACCTGACTTGGAAAAGTAGACTGTTGAGTCCTTTGCACACAGATGGCACATCAGTGTTGTAGCTGGACAAGCCTGTCATTTTAAAGGTCACTCTGGCTGCTGTATGGAAAATGGGTTATAAGGGAAAGGGCAGAAACTGCGAGCCTGGTGGGAGCCACTGAGGAGCAAGCGAGGACGCAGTGAACTGGGATGTAGCAGTGGAGACAAGAGAGATACTGTATCTGGATGCGTTTCGGAGGCTGGTCTGTAGGAGTCATTGATGTATTGGCTATGGGGAGTGAGGGAGCAATAACTCCTATGTATTTGACTTGAGCAAAGGGTGGATTTCAAATCTGCAATTTCACATCATTTCTATGTTTAGAGGAAAAGGAACAGAACTTTGGGACAGACTAGAAGGTTTATGGAGGAATTTAGTGGAAGATAAAGTGGGAAAGGCAAGGAGAGGTGCAGATCCTTGATAGACTTTGTACTTTATCTGGAGAGCTACTGGAGTTTTAGCAGAGTCTTTGAAAGATTAAAATGCATATCATGTTCATATCTGGAGTTAAGGAGACCAGTTAGAAAACTACACTAATAACCTAGGAACAAAATACTGCATTTCATCAATTCTAAGACACATTTATTCACTGTTTGATTTTCCTGAGGTCAAGATGGGTCTTACAAGTGCTGATGGTCAAATGGCAGCTGTACCACGGTTGTTGCTGCCTGTGCATGTGAGAACTTAGTCACAGCTATCAGCACTGTTGGCACGTCCACAGCGTGACTGCTGTGCCAGTTCTGCACATGTTGACTTAACTGCCACATAAAATGTCTACAGAAAGACTAGACTGTGATTAGCATTGAAAAAGTGATTATGAATGCAGAAAATCTCAGAAACGTAGTGGGGAATAATTTGGCATTGATAAAGCAAATGGTTTACTCCACCTAAAAAGAAGATGCCTAAAGTAGATGAAGCAGTGTTACATTTGTGTCACTGAGAGATGTGCAGCCTTCCGTTGACACTTTGTGGTATCATCAAGGAAACACAGCCCTGGCCAGTGTGGCTCAGTGACTAGAGTGTCAGCTATCTCCCTCTCTCTCTCACAACTCCTCCCTCCCTCTCTTCCACTCTCTCTAAAAAAAAGAAAGAAAAGAAAATGCAATAATCAAATCAGAACAAGTGACAGGGGAAACTAGTGTAACACACTGAAAAAGGCTGAGTCACTAACATTCTAAATGACATAAGGAAAAACAAAGATATGGACAACTGAGTCCAAAAACAATTTAGAAGAGTCAGGCTTTGAATGTGAATATTTACAAGCACCTAACTTTAATTTTATGCATTTTTCATGTATGCACAGTATAAATAAGTCAAAACAATTTTCAACAAAAGCACTGTGTTGCAGTTTAATTAGAATTTTTTCTTTCTTAATAGTTCATAAAATAACAATGTCTTAATATAGATGGCACCTTAGAGTTAGTTGATGAAGTACTGTAATGACCCATGGTGCTGGGAGTGGGAATGGAGAAGAGAAAATGTGACAATTATGAGACGTTTGGAGGATGGACATGGAAGGCAATGTACACTACTAGTCAGTCACCCATGTGACAGCTTAGTTTCCAGGAACTTTACTATTAGAATACTGGTTGAGGTATATGAATCTATGGCAATAACTCAGGACAGCAAGTATTTATTAACTGAAGGCATAGAAGAGTGCTTGATCCAGATTCAAAGAAGCATAAAACATAATCTCTTAGCTCCTCATTGCAAAGACATCGATATATAACATAGCTAAACATCATAAAGGCAGGCAAAAAATGGACACAAAATCATTAAGTAACATCTGGTGTTAAAGACTGCAATTATCCATATTCTAACATCCAGCATTAGAGGAAAGTATAAAATTAAAATTGTATCGTATGTCTGAATAACAAGGTACTAAATATATCTTATAGAGTATATATTATCTCAAGAATAGGTTTAAATTGCTTCTCTGAGCTTTCAATTTAGAGTAAATAAAAATAATACAAAAGACTTAGCTACATTTATGCACTTAAAGTTCCTTAGCAAGATTAACTTTTGGCCTATTCATTTATGCCATGGAACAGAAGACACACACACCTACCTGCAAGCTTCTTGAGAGTGACAGTGTTAAAGATATTGAAGTAATGGACACCAAAAACTTTCCCCAGAGATTTGCAGACTTCCGTAAGTTCTCCTAGACATTTCTTAACCACCTCTTCCCTCTGAGATACCTGCGTCACTAAGGCTTTTTGTTTTTTAATACGGCTGGAATTTTCCGTTTCCATAAAGTCTACCTTTGAGAGAAAGAGCAAGATCATGAGTGGTGCATGCACACTTGCATCAAAATAGAAACTTTATTTAATGCTTAATTGCATTTGGGGGGGGATACTTCTGTTATGCCAAGTAGATAGTTATAAGTCCCTTGGGAACAGCAGCTGTGAATTCTCCATCTTTGTATCTCCAGTGTCTAGCACAGAACTGCTTCTTCTTTTTTTTTTAATCCTCACCCAAGGATATTTTTCTTCAGACAGAGTGAGAGGGAGAGAGTAGGAGAGAGGGAGAAACATCTATGTGAGAGTGACACATCAACTGGCTGCCTCCCACAAGACCCCGACCAGGGCCAGGAACGAACCACAACTGAGGTATGTGCCCTTGACCAGAATCGAACCCGTGGCTCATTGGTCCGCAGGTCGATGCTCTAACCACTGAACAAACTGGCCAGGGCCAGAACTGCTTCTTAATAAATGTTTATTTAGTAAACGCGTGACAACTTAGTGATCTGATAATTCATTAAATTCAATTTGACGGGTATTACATTACTTGGGTTCAATTTTAAGATCTCTTTGCAAATTATGAGGAACAGATTTTGCTCATATAGAACAGTATAAATAAATTCAGTATCTATAGCTTTGGAAGACAGTTTAATTTGCAGTAATATATTTTTTGTCTATTAATTATGAAATAATAAAATGAAATAAACATTTAAAATACTATACCTTTAAATGCCCATTTAGTAAAGCTTGGGCTTTACTTCCGGGCATCACATAGGCAATAGGTTGGTCATTGGCATTGATAAATAAGTCTTCATCCAAGATCTTGTCAAGTATCAGCTTTTTAAAAAGTCTTTCAGCATTGTGTCGTGAATATGTAGACCCCTTTCCAAATATCCCAGACTGAATTTTTGCACTCTTACTCCCTGGTGAGAAGGTAAAAGAAGTCAGATTAGTAAATGTAGGCACATCATAACCCTCTAACAGAAGAGGCTGACAAGGTCATTTATGGGTAGGTCTGGATAAATGGAATAAATCATCTACTCCATAGGAAAACTCATGGCATAAAACACACACTCATTCCCATAAAATGAGAATATTTGAGTAGAACTCTAAAATTTCTATGGTTGTATGTACTTTTCCACATCTTTTTATAACATGCATTGACCAAGAACAGCAGCAAAATTAAGTGTATCATTTAGGATGTTGCATTTATAGCTTATAAAATTACATTAGAGCAAAGAAATCAAAGATAGAGTTTTTATAAACTTTAATAGCTTCATGTCAATATGCTCCATTAGGATAACTGCATTATTGATCTCCTTACAAAAAATTTTTGACAATCAATTTTATAAATACTCTCTTTGGTCCTGTATTGAAATCACTACTCATTTACAATCTAAATTAAAGTCCATATTTCTGTCACTCTCACAAATTAAGCCTACACAGATTTCAAACCAAAAGCACACTACTCCACAACACTGCACACTTCCCACCTCCCCTGCTGGCCGAGGGCACCACATTGGGCTGGATCTTTGGTATCACATCCAGCTGTTGTAATTACTAATGTCTTAATCATAAATACAATTTTATTATAACAATCTACTTAGGAAACCTTGAGACACTGATTATAATCAGGATTAACAGTTACTTTGTAAAGCTTTAGCTGTATTTTAAGAGTTCCAAATAATTACATTATTATAAATTTCAGAGGACTTCTGGCCACACATGTTGAATGATTTAAGCTTTTCTTTCTGCAATTAATTTGTATCCCTGAAATGTCACACAGGATCAGGACTACTGTGCCACCCTCCCCGTCCCCAGTCTCACTGTTGTCCTCCAAGGCAATCACTTTTTAAACAGCTTTTGTTTTCAGCTCTTGTGGTTATCTCCACATCGAACCATAACCCTGCTGTCATTCCTCTGGCCAGTCACCACCTCACATACACCTACTGACCCTGCAACTATGAAAGATGAGGCTTTATCTCATTTATACTTTACCCTGCCCCAAATTTTGCTATAATAATACTGGTTCATCTATTGCATATTTTTGTAACTTTAGATAGAACTTCTGACCACTCTTCCTCCCCTCTATGTAAATTATTAGCATCTCAAGCCTTCTGTGTACTCCCCTTTTATTTATTGTGCGTTTATTTTCATATCAAGATTTACACTTACGTCCCATCCTATTCTCTAACCATGTTTAAGTCTATATGTTGACTAAAACTGTTGTAGCTAATCTACAGTGTGAATGACAAGTTTCCTTCCCCACTTGGAATGTTGACTCTTGTGCAACCCCAAGGAGGATGTTTACTGAATCCAGACAAATGGATTACTTTTTTGTAGATTATATCAATTACTCAAAATCGTGTAACAATTGCCATTGTTTCTACATCTGACCTTGGCTCTCCTATATAAATCCTTCCCCTGGAGTTTCCAAGTGCCTTTCTCCCTTTTTGGTTGAGAAGTAACATTTTTGTTCTTTACTGTTGTCAATAAAACACTTTCTTGTTCTTTCTCTATATTGCTTGGGACTGATTTTTCTTGACCTTGTTACAATCTACACAGACTGCTTACTGCACGTGCTGCATAGCCATGTTTCTGGGATTTCTTCTCACTGGACCCCTCAGTCAGTTCCTTTGTTTATGGTATCATGTGATGTGCACACTTACTTTCTTTGCCTTCTAGTCTCCAGAGCTGCTGATATTAATCTGATGCCAGTTTTGTTTTGGTTTCTGTTTTTACTTCCCAAAGCTTTCAGGACCATCAATGAAGAGGTCCACAATATGTCACTGTGGTATAAAATTATTGAGCAAAAGGCATTTGAGTTCCCGAAATCTCAAGCACAGACACTCAAAAGAACTCAATCGTCATAAGTCCCCTCCCTGGGATCAACCAAGGGTGAGTGATTCTTATCATCCGAGATTCACGTCACATCTAAATAGATATTGTCACAAAAACATTCATATCTCCCTTGCATCTATTCTTCGAAGGACCCATTTATCTTTCCAAAAACTTATTTGTTTTCCCATAAGTGTCCTTTCTCCCCTTCCTTCCCCTTAAGATGGTATTTAGGCCCCAAAGTCAAACTGACCTTATGAGTTACATTTTTCTGTGAACTCCCTTACATACATGATTAAACCTGTCTTTTGACAGTTCAATTTGCAAGCCCCCAACTAGTAAACCTAACAGGGTAGAGAAAGTTTTTCCTCCTTAATATGTCTTTACTCTTGGTATTTTTTTTCTTTCTTATTCTTGGCATTCCTTTTTTGTTTGTTTGTTTGTTTATTTATTTATTTTTAATCCTCGCCCAAGGACATATTTCCATTTTTTTGTTCAGGTAGAGTGGGAGGAGAGAGAGGGAGAGAGAGAGAAACATCAATGTGAAAGGGACACATCGAGTAGCTGCCACCCGCACGACCCAACCGGAGCCAGGGACAAACCGCAACCAAGGTACATGCCCTTAGCGGGAACCGAACCGGGTCTCTCTGGACCGCAGGCCAACGCTCTAACCGCTGAGCCAAACCAGCCAGGGCTTGGCATTCTTTTTTAAAATATTTTTTTCCATTACTGATTTTAGAGAGAGAGGAAGGAAGAGGGAGAGAGAGATAAATACATCGATGAGAGAGAACATCAATTGGTCGCCTCCTGCATGCCCCCCACTGGAGATCAGGCCCACAACCTGGGCATGTGTCCTGACTGGGAATCGAACCGGCAACCCCTTGGTGCATGGGTCAATGCTCAACCAGTGAGCCACACCAGCCGGACTATTCTTAGCATTCTTACATCTCATCTTCTAAAGCATCTGATCTGGCACTCAGTGAGCATTTTATTTTATTTATTTATTTTTATCCTCACCTGAGGATATTTTTCCATTTTTTGTTCAGATAGAGTGGGAGGGAGAGAGAGGGGGAGAGAGAGAGAGAGAGAGAGAGAGAGAGAAACATCGACGTGAAAGGGACACATCGAGTGGCTGCCTCCCACACGACCTAACCAGGGCCGGGGACAAACTGCAACCGAGGTACGTGCCCTTAGCAGGAACCAATCCCGGGTCTCTGGACCGCAGGCCGATGCTTTAACCGCTGAGCCAAACTGGCCAGGGCGGGCATTTTATTTTTATTTTAAATGTTTTTATTATTGATTTTTTAGAGAGAGAGGAAGGGAGAAATAGAAACATCAATCGGCCGCATCCTACATGGCCCCTAATGGGGATCAAGCCTGCAACCCAGGCATGTGGGGGTTGACTGGGAATCGAACCTGGACCTCTCAGTCCATGGGACTGATGCTCAATCCACTGAGTCACATCGGCTGGGCTTAAGTGGGCATTTTACTCTGAAAGCCTTTTTCTCTTCCTCTCTGGAAAATTTTCTTACATCACTGGTTTGATAATTCCCTCTATTGTCTATTTCAAAAATTCTGTCAGAATTCACATCTCCTAAGAATTGATCTTCTATATTTTTTCTCATTTTTTTTCCCATATATTTTTGCTCAGGTCTTAGAAAACTTTGTAGACTTTATCTTCCAACCATTCCACTAAATTTACTTTGTCCATCATTTAAACATTTTTATAGTTCTTTCATTTGTTTTTTTCTTTTCTAAAACATTCTATTAGTAAGTCTTTGTGAAGATACTAATTAAGGATTTCCTCTCCCTTCTCCCCAATGTTATTTCCTATTTTCTAAGTTATCTATATCCCCAGGGTCAAATACTGTTTATCTGGTCTTTCTCTTGATTTCCTATTTATATGTAACCTTCAGGGACCAGGTTAAACTATTATTGACTTTCTAGAGAGAGAAATGGAGAAATAGAAACATCAATTGGCTGCCTCCTGCATGGCTCCTAATGGGGATCAAGCCTGCAACCCCGGCAGATGGGGGTTGACTGGGAATCGAACCCGGACCTCTCAGTCCATGGGTGGACTTCCTGTTATTTTATATCTTGGTTTATGTCTCCCCAAATTCCTCCCCTGAATGGAGTTATTGGGTTTGTTTTAGAGTAAGTAGGTAGGACCAGAGTTTAGGTGGACTGGGTGCCCCCAACTTGTTCTTAACTCAGTTGCCTTTCTGGTCCTCAGGCAGTTTATTTATGTGTGTTTCAGAATCAATGCCAGGCTGGTATTTGATACAGTTCTTTGGTGGGCAGACTCTTTTCACTGATCCATCCTATTTTTGCGCCCCCTGCTTTCACTCCCCCTCTCTGGACTTCTAGACGTCAATCCTGGGGTCTACTGATAAGGGGTTTTGCTTGGTTGATAGTCCCTCCTCTCCTTTAACTCTCTCCTACATTGATTTTTCATCATGGTTTACTGCGCTTCATTCATTTGTCGACATGCTTCAATCCGTTTCCACAATCTGATGGTCTCTCTCCGGTTCTCTATGCTATTATAGATTTAACTCCTCATTTTATTTCCTTACTATTATTTTAACAGGGCGTCAAGCCAAAATAGAAGACAGGTACTTATGCTCAGGCTGCCATCTTGAACTGTAATTCTCTAAGCAAGGTATACTTCACTCAGACGAAACTGTATAAGCTTTATAATTTTCTTTCTTGTGTGTGTGAGCAATTTTTTTTTTTCTGATTTTTTTACTGATTTTAGAGAGAGAAGGGAGAGGCAGAGAGAGACAGAAACATCAATGAGAGAGAATATCGATTAGCTGCCTCCTACATGCCTCTCACTGGGGATCGGGCCCACAACCAGGGCATGTGCCCTGACCAGGAATTGAACTGGCGACCTCTTGGAGCATGGGTTGACGCTCAATCACTGAGCCATACCAGCTGGGCTATAATTTTCTTTTTTGGATGTGAGAACTCCTCATATTAGTGACATATAAATTCTATAAAAATAATTGGCATATCCCTGGCCAGTGTGGCTCAGTTGGTTAAGAGTCATCCTGTGCACTGAAAGGTCCCAGGACCAATTCCCAGACAGGGCACAGCCCAGGCTGCAGGCTCGATCCCATCAGGGTGCATGTGGATGTAGCGATCAATATTTCTCACATCGGTTTCTATCTCTCTCTCCCTCTCCCTCCCTACCTCTCTAAAAATCAATTTTAAAGAATAAACATAAAGTGCCCTGGCCGGTTTGGCTTAGCGGTTAGAGTGTCAGCCTGCGGACCAACGAGTCATTAGGTTTGATTCTGGTCAAGGGCACATATCTTGATTGCAGTTTGTCTCTGGCCCTGGTCAGGTCGTGGGGGAGGCAACCAGTTGTATGGCGCGCACCCTCTCTTTCTTTCTCTCATCCCCCCCCCCCTCTATCTGTTGATAAATAAAAAAAATCTTCGGGTGAGGAATTAGAGAATAAATGAAAATAATTGGCATAATTCATAAAAACTGATTTTCCTGTTAGTAAACAAAGGTTTTTATTCTGAAACCCTTCACTTCTATAAGAAAACAGACAAGAGAATTCTTTAGATGCTCAACTTCAATTGATATAACTCAAATAAAAAAGATGACTTACCCAAGAAAATGTCGACCAGCATATTCATAGTAAATCTCCCACAAGGACCTACATGTTTTATATTTCCCATTCCTTGTGATGAACTATGTTCTTGAACAAATCTTACAATATTTTTTACATCGTCAGTCACATCTCGTGTCTTATAATCCTAAGAATAAAAAGAGATTATCTTCTGTGATAATTAAGATGATACCTAGATTGCTAGCATTTACGAACTAGTAGTGTCATAATCGACCGTTTCCAGACCAAAAACCAAGGAAGTTTCAAATGTTCATTCTTTTCTAAGTTCTTATATTAACCTTGCGTCTAGAACAATTAGCACTCTACTGTATCTAGTTTATTACTGTTTCATAGACATCTTGTCTTTCAATGATCTGACAGTACACTACAGGTAAGAATATTCTTAGAAAAAAAAAAATATCCCTGGTAACTCCTAGAACAGTGGTCCGTTAAATACTGGCTGGTGACTTCTGAGATGAAAAACATGCAAATTTATGAGTTTCCAATCTCTTTTGGGTCTTTGGTACCAAAGTCTATCCTTTGTACTATCTCCTGTCAGTTCCCTTCTCATTCCTCCCAGTTGTCCCCAAACTCTGCCTAGTTTCTACAGCCCCATTACTATACGATCTCTCTGCTAGTTCTCCAAACGAGCAGTCTAACCACATGTGCTTCTCAAAAGCTATGTCATGCTTCTGTGCCTCTGTATATACAGTTCCCCCATCTTCTAAGCCTTGCTCATCTGTCACATTTCAACCTGAAGACTAACAGGTTTCTTGTCTTATATAAATAAGTAGTGATTCTGAGGCGCTATCTAGAATCCTCAGGAAAGGGTACCCCGTCACTCTCTCCAACATCATTCCTGACTTGCTTCTTGGTGACTTAGTACAGAGATGATTCTCCCACACCTTAGCCTTCGGCATCTTCATATCCTCTGCTCCAGTGATCCTGTCCTCCACATATGTCAGCAACTCACTCCCATGGTCACACCTACTACTTTTGCCAAACTACTAATTGTAACCTTACATTCTCTGAGAACCCCCTTCTACCTTTCCAACTCACACCATCTAGTATTCTGACTTCAACAGTCCTCATCCTCCAGTTACTGCTCTGGCCGGCCTAGACCTCTTCCTAAGTAACTCATCGCCCTGCTCACCACATGGGCTCCCTTGCTATCCCTCAGATGCCCAAGCATGCCCTCATCTTAGGGCTGTTGTTCTTGGCTTCTGCCAGGAATGCCCATATCCAGAGAGCTCAGCTAACTCCCTTCTTCAAGGTTTTGCTAAGATATCATCTTTGTAATATGACTTCCCTGGGCTACCTTATCCTGCAACCCATCCATTTGTCCTGACTCCTTACAATGCTGTACTTTCCACCACAGTTCTTACCCATTAATATGTGCTTATTATGTGTATTGTTTGTACCCAGCCTCCCTCTGCTAGAATGTAAGATCCTCAAGGGCAGGGATCTGTATATTTTGTATCCCAAACTCCTAGAAAAGTGCTTATCACAGAGCAGGCACTCAACAAATATTTGTTGAATGAGTGACTTGATTAGCAATGTCTACAGAGTTGGGTGCAGTGGGTGGAGATGGCCATGAATTAGCAGATTCTACCCCAAGAGAGACTAAGTCACTTCTGCTCTGGCTAGTGCTGCATATCTTTGTAACTGCACTGATCACATATATGTCTGTCTCCCCTCCAGTCTATGAACTGGCCCAACCACATTCATTTGTGAATCCCCAGCACCACATACAGACATTTAAAATGACACATCAAATGCAAAAATGCTCTGTAAACTGTAGACATTAAAACATAGCATTACCATAAATGATACAATAAAGTACCCAATGATTGAATTTAAAAACTTCCCAGGATTATTTCCAGGACAGATGATAGCAAACTCATCCAGAAGTTACTGCCATTATTCTTCATAGTTAAAAAAAAAATTTTTTTAGAGTAATCTAATTGCTATGAATTCAAACACACAGTACTCCAGTTACTATAACTTTTGAGAATGAGATCTTTAAATATAGATTAGAATTGAATTGAAAATATTCTACTTGCTCATATTAAATTTTCTGGGGTATATTTACAGATTAATGATATTTCTAAATTACCCTATAATTATCAGTGCATATATATAACCTCAGTATTTTGGTTAAGTCCAGTATATTTTTTATGGGCTTCTAATTCTCAAGATATTCCATAAAATTAATATTAAAGTGTTACCATTCCAAATTACTATGGGAGGAAGCAATCTTTACCTTGTTTAATTCCTTAGGGGTCACTATTTTCATCTAACTTTTTTTTTGTAGCAAGAAATGGTTTATTGATCGAGAAGGCTTAGCTCAAGAAGATGGGAAAACTAATTCTAAAATCCATTTTCATCTAACTTTTCTAAATTAAGAGGAAAAAAATTTTTTTCTTAGTTTACCTTTGCGTTACAGCAATTATCACAAGAAACATCTGGGTATTTCTTACAAAAATCAGGATTAAATCCAATTTCACCAAAGTAAGCTAAAAGCTGTATTCGTCTGCATTCTGCTATATTTTCACAGTAATGTACCATACTATACAAATTATTGAAGTGAGTCTCTCTTGTATGACGGTTTCCATCTTTTTCCACTAAAACAAATGAAGAACATAGCAAAACATCCTTATTAGAGTAGAAAATAGAAGATAATATCACAGAAATATTTAGAATAGATTCATATAGCTTTAATTAAATCAAATAAAATATTATTAGCATTATATATCATTCTACATTATAATTAACTGAATATTTATGTTTATCCCTTAAGATATTAGTTTTATAGGTATAAATGTAGATTGTCAGGAATAGCTGAATTTTTTTGCAAATATTCATTATTCCTGATGATGAAGATTTGCATGATATTTACTATATTTATCAGACAAGCCAAGTACTGAACTGAACAGCCAAAGAAAGCAGAGCATGAAACTATGGAAATGGACTGTGTACCCCACTGAGTATCTGGGGTCAAAGTGATTAAGTTAGTGGTTCTGAAATTGTGCCCAGGGTGCTGCAGTGAACTAATGGGGCAGTGGCAGGTATTTCAAATTTTAGGGAAACAGCAATATCTGACATCTGTTGAACACCATACACACTACTAGTTTGAGGTAGTTCATCGTATGCTACATTCCTTTCAATGACAACTTTATGACGCTGAATATTTGGCAGTTCTATGAAAATACAAGTACTTCCAGAAAATCAATGAGAAGCAGCAAATGAATGATGGTGGTGATGTTTAATCTGATTCCAAGGTTTGATAACATGTACATACTTTTTTTTTTTTAATCCTCACCTGAGGGTATTTTTCCATTTATCTTCAGATAGAGTGGGAGAGAGGGAGGGAGGGAGAAAGAGAGAGAGACACATCAATGTGAGAGAGACACATCGATTAGATGCCTCCTACACAACCCCAACCAGGACCGGGGACCAAACCACAACAAAGGTACGTGCCCTTGACCAGAATCGAACCCACGACTTTGGTCTGCGGGCCAACGCTCTAACCGCTGAGCCAAACTGGCCAGGGCCATACTTTTTCTAACTGTAAGCAATTGTGGTTAGTTCAAAATGAAATTTAAAAAAATGTTTCCCTCAGCTTATGAATTTTCTATGTTCTTTTCAAATGGCTAAGTGTTTAGGACTTACATACTTACTAAATTGTTTGAACCTAACTTAACATAGGTTTTGTGTAAAAACATAAATGGCCCTGTTTGCTCAATGGTTAGAGTGTCTGCCCTCGGACCAAAGTTGCAGATTCAATCCCTGGCCCTGATCAGGGTCACATGGGAGGCAACCAATTAATGCATCTCTCTCACATCAATGTTTCTCTCTCTCCCTATTCCTCCCTTCCACTTTATCTAAAAATCAATGGAAAAATATCCTGGGGTGAGGATTAACAAAAGCAAAAATAAATAAATAAAAACAAACACACGAATGGACACACTAGGTTTAAATTTTTCATTTTTGCACCGAGAATCATCTTGGTACAGCACAAGGGTTGTGGACTATGGAGTTTGATGAACCTGGGTTTCACCAGGCGTGGCCTCTTACCAGCTCTGTATCTCATTGTCTTCCCCTATAAATGAGTAACAGTAGCATCTTTTAGGGTGTTGTGAAGATTAAATAGAGTGATATATGTAAAGTACTTAGGACAGTAGCATATGGTAAGTGCTAAGGAAATGTTGTCTGTAAGTATCATTACCACTCCTGCAACCACTGCTGCTGCGGTTACTGCCATATCAGTGCTCTCGGGGGCAAGTTATAAAATGTTTCTGAAGCTCATTTTCTCATGGGACTAACTCTACCTCAAAAGCCAGTGGTTATGAGCAAATAAGGTGACATATTATTCGGCACAGTGCTTGATAAGTATAATTATCCAGGATCAGTATCTCTGCCAGAGTTCATTCAAAAGTGGTCTCAAAATGGGCAAATTTATTTAGGAAATGTATTTATGTAATAATCACAATCCAATAGAAAAATGGGCAAAAAACATAATAAAATCCTAAAATATGTATTCACTTTGACCCAGCAAGTCTAACTAGAAATTTATCCAGTAAAGATAAATGTCCAAAGATATCTGTACAAGGATATTCAATATTGTATTGTTAATAACAGTGAAAAACTGTTATTAAAAAATTGAAATATCTATTAAAAGATTAGTTAAATATGAAAAAAAATCATACAATGGAATTCTATGTAGTCAAGCTTTGCATATTAACTGGAGTCATAATTACATCCTAGTGTTGACTAAAAAAAAATCACACACACACACACACAATCTCATTTGCATTATAAAACATATGCATTGGGAAAAGGTAAACACCAAACACAAGATATTGCCTGTCCCTAATGGGGGGGGGGGGGGGCGGGTAGATGGGTAGGATAAGATAGGAGAGGGATACATATATATATATGTTTTATTTTTTAACCTAGATCGTGGCATGTGAGAGTCATTATTTTTCCCCTTTTACCTTTTGGCAAGTTTAAAAGATGTGCTGTATGCAAGGATGCATGCAGAAACTAGGTCAGAAGAACACAAAGAAAACCCACAACTAGAGTTAATTCTTAGGCAGGAAATGGCATGCTTTGGAAATCTGATACATTGTCTGTATCAACTGAGTTTTATATAACAAGCATGTAATGCTTTTATCATAAAAATAAACTAAAAACTTCCATATTTATATATGTACCTCTATTTTCCTGTAATTGGACCAAAAGTACAATAGCAGCAGTAGATTACCACTACCATGAGACTGAAGAAGACTTACTCAGTATAAGTCTCTTCAGTCTGGTCACATCATAATAAGTATAGAAAAGCAGACAGTGAGATATTTCCCCATCTCTTCCAGCTCTGCCAGATTCTTGGTAGTAACCCTCCATGGATTTAGGGAGAGATGCATGGATCACAAATCGTACATCGGGTTTGTCAATCCCCATTCCAAATGCAATTGTCGCACAGATAACCTGATGTAAGAGCAAAAGCCTGTTAGACTCAGAATGCACAGTCATTTTAGTAAAGGATGCTTCTAAAAGCTGTATCTTCTATTTTGCTTTAAAATGTACTCTATACAACAATCTAATATCTTAACTTGGTCTCATTATCTAGAATGATTATTATGAGATTTCCATACTGGCAGTTTTACTAAGACCCAAGAAGGTAAAGAGAAGCTTGGTGTGGCAGGCACTTTCTAGTGTAACTTGGTATTATCACGTGAGGGAGCCAGAATCAATGGCAGTCACCGTTCAGTGTGCTGTCACTGTTTGTTCTCTCATGTTCTTGATACGCTGATATGAGAGGCACTGCTCACACTGCCAGGGTATCCAGGCCAGTGATCAGCAATGTGTTGCTCAGGAGCTCAGGTGTTTCCAGGGCTTGAGTTTTCAGAGGTCACTGCTGCCAGCTTTTCCGAGGATTCGGGAACAATGTTCTCACCTGTTTCAGTGACAGCAGCTGATCATGTACCAGCTCCTTTTAGTCATCAACGAATTTCAAAGTCAAAACATGAAGTTTTCATTGGAACTCATGTGAGCAAAAGTCTGAGAGTTGCTTATATTAGAAAAAAGACTGGAGACTCGATCTTGGCCTATGCAAATTACTTAGTGGAAGCAACATGATAGTTATATTTCAGGAGCCTGATAAATCAGTTTTTAGTAAAAAATCAAGAATATTTTCAAGAATATCCATTTCAGTTGCAAATGTAGGACCTATTTAAATCGGACAAAAACATTATATCTCCAGGCAAAATTACATTATATAAATAAAACTACAAGTCTTTTTTTAGTACTTAAGAAAATAAATTGCTACTGCATAAACAGTGTTTCAAAAGCAACTGAACTATCTGGTAGCCAGACTGAGGCTAATGACAGGATTTCGGTAACTGAGAGCACCAGAGAAAGGAACTGTAAGCTATGAAGCACGTGGATGGCAAATGGGTACATTCATCAACTCTGGGAATGGCAGCAGCCTGCAGTCTAGCTTAGCCATCAATCAAATTTATGACACTTTGATCAAAGACAAATCTCCTTGGAAAGAGGAAGTCTACTATAGCCTCTTGAGATGGAGAGCAGGTGGAGCAAGATGTCCCAGCCCACAGGCCCATAGGCGCACAGGGTGTGGCTCACAAGGTTCCAAGAAGCCCTAGGTGGGGTGGGTACAGGCCACTGATGATGATGATGATGCCAACTCTTTCTGAAAGCCTTAACTGGGAAAACTGGCTTTGCTCAGTTGTTACTTCCTTCTTTATTTCTGTATTGTTTTTAAAACTTCAGGCTACAATCATTTCTTTGTGAAGAAAAACAACCAAGTTTTATTCTATCTCATAAATCTAACAAGATCAAGGCTGTACAGTTGGTTATATTATTATACCTTAACTGTAAGGGTTAGCTGGTCTGAGAGCAGAAACAATTAGATTTAAAAGTGTATATATATATATATATATATATATTTTTTTTTTTTTAATCCTCATCTGAGGACATTTTTCCATTTTTTGTACAGACAGAGTGGGAGGGAGAGAGAGGAAGAGAGAGAGAGAGAAACATCGATGTGAAAGGGACACATCGAGTGGCTGCCACCCGCACGACCAACCAGGGCCGGGGACAAACTGCAACCGAGGTACAGTACATGCCCTTAGCGGGAACCGAACTCGGGCCTCTCCGGACCGCAGGCGGACGCTCTAACCGCTGAGCCAAACCGGCCAGGGCTAAAAGTATATATTTTTAAACCAAACAAAACCACATTTTGATAAAAGTGTCTTATATATATTGTATATATATATGCATGTATACTGTAGAAAATTTATACTATATATAAAAATTCAAAGAAGTTAAAAAAATCAGCTTTTTCCTCTTGCCTATTTTTCTATTCAATCTTTTTTACAGTTGAGATTACACTTTTGAATTATACTTTTCACTACCTTTCTCTATCATGAACATCTGAACATTTTCTTATCATTAAAAAATTCTTCATAAACTCTTTTTAATGGCATGAATATAGTACCATAATGTACCCAATCATTCTCTCAGGACATTTAAGCGATATAAATAGCTATTAGGGTATTTACTATTAAAGATAACACTGAGATGTAAATTCCATGCTCGCATTTCAGATTTGAGGCTATTGATAGAGTTCACCATATTGTTTTCTAGAAAGGCTGTCATGAGCACTATAGGAATCTGCCTTTTACAGCACTGTCCCCAACAGTTAGTAAAAGTTTGCAAATATAAGAGGTGAAAATGGTCTCTTACTATTTTAAATTTGAATTCCTTTGATTATTAGCAGAGTTGCACTTTAAAAAGGCATTTGAATTTGGCCTTTTATAGTTTTTCCTATCCAATAGTCTCTTGATAGCCTGTAGGGTAATTTATTAAGGCTCATGTTTTTCTTATTAAATTTTATAAGCTCTTCACTATGTTTTATTTGCTGAAGATATAATTCCTAGTTTGCTGTTGCGTGTAATTTTATTGATAAAAAAGCATTTAGTTTTTTAGGTTTTTAATAATTTCTGATTACTTTCTTTTGAGTTTTTTTAAGTTTAGATTCTTTTCTACTCAGAATTCATTAATTTAATATCAATATCTTTATCTACCTATAATTAATTTTGATATGAGGATCCAAAATGATTTCCCACATCAAATAACCACTACGTAGTAGCATAATCTTCCCTTCCTCATTAATTTTTAAACATTCCTTATTATACACTGTTTTTACATTTTCCAGTCTGTTTCTGGATTTCTGTTTCATTGATCTGCCTATAATGTATTGCATGCCAATGTTTACATGTCGTTATTTTAGTTATTTTCACTTGAATATTCTTCCAGGCAAACTTTAGTAAAAGTTTATCAAAGGAAAAAAAATACTGAAATTTTGATTAAATATATAAATTAATTTGAGAAAACTGACATCTGTAAAGATTTCAGTGAAGATAAGTCAATGATATATTTTCACAACTTTTACATATGTGAAAATGACTTTCTGTTGTTTTCAACATAAATGACAATAAGCTGAGTATGAAATTCTCCAGTCCCAGTCTTCCCTCTTACGATTCTAAAGATAGTGTATTCCTGTTTTTGTTTTTTTAATTTAGCAAAAACAGTCTCAAGAATGTTTATTTTTTGCTCTTTGTAACCTATTTCATTATCTTGATGAATATATCTTAGGTTTGTAAATGAAAGTGGTGAACAATGTCTACATTTAAGTTCATCCCCAGTGATTTTTGTCTTTTAAATTTGTTATATATTTATTTATAATACATTTTAACTATCCTAATTTCTTCCTTGGGTACACTTACTATTCTTAGATTAAACCCCTATTCCCTGTAACTAACAAATATCATTTTTTCCCTTCAATTTTAATGTTTTGTTTTGTTTTAAATATATCAATCTGCCTCTTGCACGCCCCCTACTGGGCATAGAGGCCGCAACTTGGGCATATATCCTGACCAGGAATTGAACTGGGACCTTAGTCCATGAAACAATGCACAATCCAGAGCCACACTGGCCAAGCGAATGTTTTTTTTCTTCTTCTTTCACATTCTCAAGTTATTTACTATATCACTGATTCAAATGTCTGCATTGAGTCAGACTATTTACGTTTTGATATATAATTCTTTGTTTTTCTTGCATTTTCTTATTTGATTGAATAAACTGCATTCTTATTTCCCCCTTCATCGCAGCCTGTGATCTTATGGCAAGCTGCTTCTAGTTCATAGAAGTCAAGTTTTCTTACATCTTTTTGAGGAGACTAGGCTGATATACTCTAAGATATTCTTTTGTTTTCCCTTAGAAAATAATTCGGAGAGATATTTCTCCTCTATTATCTTCAGGGTAATGGTTTCTTTTTTTGTGAGCTGAAAAATTCATAGGCTGCTAAAAAATTATTAGTCTTTTTCCCCAAATTCACCCTTGTATGGATATACCAAAAAGACAGACAATACTAAATGTTGATGAGGAGGCAGAGACATTGGAACTTCATATACTGCTGCTAGAATTTCTTAAAATTCTGTAGCTGCTTTGGAAAGCAGTTGGGCAGTTCCTCAAAAAGTTAAATATAGAGCTACCATATGATTAAGCTATTCCACTCCTAGGTGTATACTCAAGAGAACTGAAAACACATGTTCAAATAAAAACTTATACACAAATGTTCACAGAAGCATTATTCACAATATTCTACCAACTGATGAATGGATAGCAAATTATGGTAAATTCATACAATGGAATATTATCCGGCCACAAAAATAAATTAAGTACTGATACATGCTACAATGGCAATAAATCTTGAAAACATTATAAGTGGGTAAAAAGGGGGAAGGGGGTTAGGAAATGGGGAATATCTGTAATAGTGTCAACAATTAAAATAAAAAGACAACATTACAATAAGTGAAAGAAAGGAGTCACAAAAGAACACATACTGTATGATTCCATTTATATGAAATGTCCAGAAAAGGAAAATCTATAGAGACAGATTAGTAATGGCTAGTAGATTAGTGGTTGCCAGGGAATGGAGGGTTGGGGGAGTAGGGAGTGACAACTAACGTGTATGGGTTTCTTAAGATGATGAAATGTTCTAGAATTACTGGTGATGGTTGCATAATCTTGTGACTACTAAAAACCACTGACTTATAATCTTTGAAAGGGTGAATTTTCTGGTCTGTGAATTATATCTCAATAATTTTTTTTTGATTTAAGAATAAAAAGTGCCCTGGCTGGTTTGGCTCAGCAGTTAGAGCGCCAGACCATAGACCAGAGTTCTGGGTTCGGTTCCCGCTAAGGACAGGTACCTCGGTTGCAGTTTGTCCCTGGCTCCAGTTGGGGTCGTGTGGGTGGCAACCAGTCGATGTGTCCCTCTCACATCGATGTTTCTTTCTCACTCCCCTCCTCTCTCCCTCCCGCTCTGTCTGAAGATAAATGCAAAAATGTCCTCGGGTGAGGATTAAAAAAAAAAAAGGGAATAAAAAGCAACTTTAGAAATCTTAAACATCTGTTTTTCAATTTCAGTCTTATTTTGATGTTTACTACTTACGATAAAAACAATTTTCATTCTACATGTGCAAGTTTGCTTATATACTATAAAAAAGTATTTAATTTATTTGCTTATCATTTAAAAAGTCACCTGGCAGCCATCCTGGTTGATCCACTTGTGCTGTACTTCGTCTCTGGCAGAATCACTGAGGCCAGCGTGATAGGCCAGAGCACGGAGACCATCCTTCTGTAAGGTGTTGGCCATTGTGTCACATTCTCGCCTGGAGAGGCAGTAAATTATCCCTGAATCACCTGCCAAGAAATGAGGACTTGTTACATAAATAACAACACAATTTACATTATGTTCTTTGAAATATATGAAACATAAATAGACCTCCATAGTTTTCTTATAGTAGAGGAAGATCACATAGGTAGAATAATTCAAGCAAGGAACTCATGTACACCGAAAATTACAAGATTTGACCTTTAATCCTGTCCCTCCAAATGATTCTTGAGGTGGACCTGGACAAACCCTGGGCTCTATTTCATAATGGCTAAAAAATGGGAAGGCGTCCTTACCCAAACTTTGTAGAAAGCAGTATGTATCAAAGAGCCCGGAAATGCTTCTACCCTTTGACTCAGTTTCCTTCTACAAAACTAATCTAGAAAGTAAAGTGGTACAAGGATTTATGCAAAAAGTTTTATTTGAATTTTAAAAATAAAAATAATTTTGTGCCCCCCCCCCAAGCAAGTCTGTGCCCCTCCCCGACATACATCTCCTAAACTCTAAGGAATCCCAAGAGGCTTGCAACCAGGGCAGTAATGGGCCAATGCAGTTCATCCCAGACAAACCCCTGAACCTTTCCCCAAGGCCCTCTTTTCTCTGACCTCTTAGTGAGCCAAAGCAGACCAGCCTAGGCTCATTTCCCCAGCCCTTCCCTGTATCATTGTCCACAGCTTTAGAATCCTCTGAAGTTCAAAAAAATAAAATAAAAATTAGAAACATTTTAATGGCCAAAACTAGGAAACTAATTAAGACAGGAAATTACAAAATAATATATAGTATAATTATCAAGTATGTTCCAAGTTTTTAAGAAGACATGAAAAAATGCTCAAGATATAAAACAGGTTAAGGGTAGGGTTAGTGTTAGGTGTGGCTCAGCTGGTTGTATGTTGTCCCGTGCACTGGGAGTGGCCAGTTCAATTCCTAGTTGGGCCATGTGCCCAGGTTGCAAGTTCAATCCCCAGTGGGGAACTTGCGGGAGGCGGCCGATCAATATTTCTCTCACATTGGTGTGTCTCTCTTTCTCTCTCTCTAAAGTCAACTTAAAAAAAGAAAGACAGTATATATAGTATACTAATGAAGAAAAAATGCATAGAAAATTACTGTAAACAAATCAGAACAATAATAGTTACTTGTCTTGAGGTCTTTGTCTTTCACTTCTTTCTTCTTTTTGTTGCTTTCTCAGTGTTCTTCAGTGAACATGTGTTATATTTATTGTTGTTTTTATGTACTTATTTTTAAAGTCAGAAAATAAAGGTATTAAGAAAAAGTCAGCCCTGCCCTGGCCGGTTTGGCTCAGCAGTTCGAGCGTAAGCCTGAGGTCCAGAGAGATCTGGGTTCGGTTCTCACTAAGGGTGTGTACCTTGGTTGCAGTTTGTCCCCGGCTCTGGTTGGTTGTGCAGGTGGAAGCCACTTGATGCATCTCTTTCACATTGATGTTTCTCTCTCTCCCTCCCACTCTACCTGAACAAAAAATGGAAAAATGTCCTCGGGTGAAGATAAAAAAAAAAAAAGAAAAAGTCAGCCCTGGCCGGTTTGGCTCAGCAGTTAGAGCATCGGCCCATGGACCAGAAAGACCCGGGTTCGATTCCTGCTAACAGCACGTACCTCTGTTGCAGTTTGTCCCCAGCCCCGGTTAGGGTCATGTGGGTGGCAGTTAGTCGATGTGTCTCTCTCACATCAATGTTTCTCTCTCTTTTCCTCCCTCTCTCCCTCTCACTCTATCTGAAGATAAATGCAAAAAATGTCATTGGGTGAGGATAAAAAAAAAAAAAGAAAAGAAAATGTCATCTCTCAGAAAAGAAAAAAGTCATCTCTCTGTGGCAGAGCCAAAAGGTATAGATGCACACACCATTAAACTATTTATATTAGTTGCCTTGGACAAGAGGGCCTGGAGAGGGAAATTACTGACTTTTTCAAAGTCTATCTCTATACTGTTTGATATGTCCAAACCAATATGTATACTAAGTTTTATTTATTTTTTTTAGAGAGGAAGGGAGAGGGGGAGAGAGAAACATTGATAAGAGAAGCATCAACATCGATCAGCTGCCTCCCAAATGCCCCCCACACTGCGGATTGAGCACAAAACCCAGTTATGTGTCCCGACCGGGAATAGAACCAGGTTGACACTCAACCACTGAACCACACCAGTCGGGCCGTATACTAAGTTTTAAAAAATGAAATAAAGATGTTTAACAAAAAATTCTCCATGGAGCCCTGGCCAGTTTGGCTCAGCGGTTAGAGCGTCGGCCTGCGGTCCGGAGAGACCTGGGTTCGGTTCCCGCTAAGGGCACGTACTGCGGTTGCAGTTTGTCCCCGGCCCTGGTTGGTCGTGCGGGTGGCAGCCACTCGATGTGTCCCTTCACGTCGATGTTTCTCTCTCTCTCCCTTCCTCTCTCTCCCTCCCACTCTATCTGTACAAAAAATGGAAAAATATCCTCGGGTGAGGATAAAAAAAAAAAAAAAAAAAAATTCTCCATGGAAAGTGGGTTATATAAAAAACTGATATGAACTCTCAGAATCTCATTTTAATTATTATAGCTTAAAAGCAGACACACTTGGGAGAAGGCTTTAAAACAAAGACCTGTTTATTAATCTTTAACCGAGGATATTTTTCCATTGATTTTTAGATAGAGTGAAAGGGGGGGGGGGAGAGAGGGGGAGAGAGAAGGAGGGAGGGAAGGAGGGAGAGAGAAGGAGGGAGAGAGAGAGAGAGAAAAACATCAATGTGAGAGAGACACATCGATTGGTTGCCTCCTGCATGATCCCTACCAGGGCCAGAAATCAAACCTGCAATCCAGGTACATGCCCTTGACCGGGAATCAAATACGAGACCCTTTGGTCTGTGGGCCAATGCTCTAACCACCGAGCAAAACTGGCCAGGGCCAAAAACCTGTTTAATTCATACACTGACAGAAGCCAGAGGAAAGACACTAAAATCACAAATGATAATATAGGAATGTAAGATAAAGTATTTAATATTTTTTATTAGGGTTTATTGTTATCAAACCAAATGATATTTTACAATATGCAGAACCGAGTTACAATATTCTGCTCTATGAATAGCAAGTCAATGCTATCATATGAGAAATGTTTAATAATGCAATTTTATATATTCTATTGTAGTATTAAAAAGACATTTATTACTTCCAGACATAATTTATCACATAACTGTACTCACGTGGGTGATGCTTTCTGATCCATTCTAAGCAATCAAATGCCACCTTTTTAGGCTTTTTTGGTAACACATAGTATTTCAGATTATGTCTGTTAAAGCTCATGGTAAACCTAAAAGAAGTTCCAAACATAAAATTTTGTTATTATGAGAAAATCTAGTTTTAGCCATCTCCAAAAATTAAATGCTGATTTTCCACAATGCAAATCTAATTATCAAGCTGCGTTAAACTGAATCTTGCCACTGGCAGCTTACACAAAAGAACACAGAACTGGAAGGTAGGTTAAGGGTTAACGAAAAGAACGGTGACAAGGAGGAAGTGTCTATGGGACTAGATGACAAAGAGTTAGAAGGACCATAGAAGATAACATGTGCAGGTAAACCAAGAGCCCAGTCTCCAAGATGAAGATGATTAAGAGCAGAGATGGCTAAAACATTATTTAAAAGATTTAAGAAAATCACAAGAGAAAACATATATTTCCAGGCCACCAGACTGTGTACAAGAGGAGCTAATTGCAGGGCAGCAGGAGGATGGATTATTGTACTTGGCCTCTGTGCCCCAGTGGGAATGTGGGTGATGCTGAGACAGATGTGCTCTTCTTTCTCTGGTTTTTGCCCCTAGTATCCCACTTCCTTAGGGAGCTCTTCCTCTCCATTATCTCCTCTTGTGCTTCAGTCTCTTCTGTGAATTCTTCCCTTTTGTCTCTGAATATGTTCTAAGATCAGCAATCGTAAAAACGAAAGTTTCTCTTGACTCTATACTGCACTGCAGCTGGCATCCCACCTTCCTTTCCCTCCAGTGGCAAGTTTCTCAGAAGACACTGAAGCTCCCCAACTGACTAACCATATGTTTAATTTCTTCTCTCCACTTCCATTCTGGCTTTCCTTATTACTATTCTATCAAAATCGTCTTATCAAAGCTTTTAAAACTAGAGAATTGTTACAGGATCCTTGACGCGGTAGGAACCCTCCACTGTCCCAGGTTCCAACATCTCTGCAAGAAGAAGTCAGATTTAGAGCATAAAAACCTCAGTGCCTGGGCTGATAGTGAGGCGGCTGCTATTATAGGGGGTGATCAGAAGGAGGAAACATGGGGAACAAAAACCACTGGTTTTGTCTTTAAATCTACCTTTTAAAAAAATCCGCATTCCATTGATTTTTAGAAAGAGTGGGAGGGAGAAAGGGAGGGAGAGAGAGAGAGAAGAGGTGAGAGAGAAACATCGATCATGAACTCACATGAACCCTAAGTGGGGATCAAACCTGCAGCCCAGGTACATGCCCTTGACCAGGAATCGAACCCGCGACTCTTTGGTCCGAGAGCCAATGCTCTAACCACTGAGCAAAACCAACAAGGGCCTGAGTAATGTGGTGAGAATGAAGATGATTTTCACTTTATAACATTGCTTCCTTCATCCCCGACTACTGTCAAAGAAGCATTATTCTGAGTTTTATGAGACTACAGTTAAACAATACTTCAAAATCATTCCCCTTATGATATCATTTATATAAAATACTCAGAGCTTTCTTTTAGTGCTTGAAATGGCAGAAGCATGTGTAGCAGAATGTGGCAAAGAAGGCAGTAGATAAAAGACTGATATATCCAAGGACTATTTTAATCGTTCTCAGTTCATTACTTACAATCACTGCCATAGCAAAGGGAACTGCAGTCTGTATAAAATTATAAAAAAATTGCTCACGAATACAAATGATGTAGATAATCTCAAAACTTAATTTGGGCTTAAGTATAGGTTGTTGTGTGAGTCTCTCTACCAATAGGAATGCTGAAATGACTCTGCACAAGAATGGCTTTATTGCTTTTTCCTACACCACACTTTAATTTCAGAACTATGTTTCGTGCATTAAAAAAGAAAAAAAAAGAAAAAGAAATGCTGCCCTGGCCAGTTTTTCTCAGTGGTTAGAGCATCGGCCTGAGAAACAAAGAGTCTCAGGTTTGATTCCTGGTCAAGGGCATGTACCTCAGTTTTGGTCGGGGTCATGCGGGAGGCAACCAATCGATATGTCTCTCTCACATCACTGTTTGTCCCCCCTCATTCTAAAAAAATAAATAAATAAATGGAAAAATATCCTCAGGTGAGGATTAAAAGAATAAAGCTGAGTCAAAAGAAGAAAGACAACAGTAATGCTGGTGGGAACAGTAAATAGTCTGGAAGTTCTCAAAAGGTCAAAAATAGAGTAACCACACAACCCAGCAATTACACTCCTGGGTCTATAACCAAGAGAAATGAAAATATAGATCCACATAAAAACATGTGAATGCTCATAGCAGCATTACTCATAACAGGCAAAAAAAAAGTAAACAACCCTAAAGTTCATCAGTGAATAAATAAAATGTGGTATACCTATACAATGAAATATTCTTCAGCAATAAACTTGGAAAACATTATGCTAAGTAAAAGAAGACATACTGGATGATTCAGTTTATACTTGATACCCAGAAAAGGCCAGTCTAAAGACAGAAGGCAGATTAGTGGTTGTCAAGGGCCAGTGGGAGGTATGAGGGGAAAGGAGGATTGATTACTAATGGATATGGGTGTTTTTGCAGGGTGAGGAAAATATTCTGAAATTGTGGTGATGGCCCTGGCTGGTTTGGCTCAGCAGTTAGAGTGTCGTCCCATGGAACAATGAGTCGTGGGTTCGATTTTGGTCAAGGGCATGTCCCTCGGTTGTGGTTTGTCCCTGGCCCTGGTCGGGTCATGCAGGAGGCAACCAGTCGATGTGGCTCTATCACATTGATGTTTCTCTCTGTCTCTCTCTCCCTACCTCCCACTCAATCTGATAATAAGTAGAAAAATATCCTCAAGTGAAGAATAAAAAAAACAAAAATAAATAAATAAAATTGTGGTGATGGCTGCACAACTCTGACTACTAAAAACCAATGAATGATGATACACTTTAAATATGTGAACTGTATGGTATGTGTATATCTCAATAAAGCTGGTATGTTAAAAAACATTTAGAATAACATTTGAAAATTTTTTGATTTGTGACATAATTGAGAAAAACAGATATTTACTAATTTAAACAAATTACTTTTTAAAATAAAAAATAGGTTTCATTAATTTTAGAGAGAGAGAAAGGGAGAGGGAGAGAATGAAACATCCATGAGAGAGAAACATTAGTTGGCTGCCTCCTGCACGCCCCCTACTGGGGATCGAGAACAAAACCCGGCCATGTGCCCTGATCGGGAATCAAACCCGAGACCTTTTGGTGCATAGGACAACACTTAACCAACTGAGCCACACTGGCGAGGGCTAAACTGATTACTTTTACTAAAAACAATAAAATGACATGATATTAGGACATAAAGCTTTAGATCTCAAATCCAATTAAAACCAAAATAAGTATCTCTACAGCAAATGAACTGCTAAACTCCAGCAGATGGGCCACTAAAAGCAGCATTCCCACAATTTGTTAAGATTAAAAAGATAAGTCTTTCAGATTTTATTACATAGAACAAATCTTACTTGGCCCATTGATAAGCAGTATGTTTGGAATTACCAAATATTCTAGTTAGGGACAGTTCTCATCAACTGATAAATAGACAACTAAAATGTGGAATGCCCAGCCCGGCTGGTGTGGCTCAGTGATTGAGCGTTGGTTGACCCATGCACCAAGAGGTCACCTGTTCGATTTCTGGTTAGGGCACATGACCAGGTTGTGGGCCCGATCCCCACTGGGGGGTGTGCAGTAGGTGTCTAATCAATGTTCTCTATCATCAATGTTTCTCTCTCTCCCTCTCCATCTAAAATCAATAAAAGATATTAAAAATAAAATAAGATGTGGAATGCCCATTCAATGGAAGATTCTCTAGTCATAACAATGAATAAAGTACTGACACATGCTATAACATGGAAGACCCTTGAAAACATTATACTGAGTGATGTGGAGTGACTGCTTATAAGCACCAGGTTTCTTTTTGGAGGTGATGAAAACATTCTAAACTTAGATTTGTAGGATGGTTGCATAGCTCTGTGAAACTACAAAAAAACCTACTAAATTCTAACTTTTAAATGGGTGAATTTTATGGTGTGTCAATATGTCTTAATAAAAATTTTATTTTTTAAAAAGTCTCTGATTTTGCCCTGGCAGGTTTTGCTCAGTGGTTAGATTGTCGGCCCTCGGACCAACAAGTCATAGGTTCGATTCTGGTCAAGGGTACGTACCTCAGTTGCAGTTCATCCCCAGCTCTGGTTGGAGTCCTGCAGAAGGCAGCCAATCGATGAGTCTGTCTCACGTTGATGTTTTTCTCTCTCCCCCTCCCACTCTATCTGAAGATAAATGGAAAAATACCCTTGGGTGAGGATTAAAAAAAAAAAGTTTTGGATTCCATTGTATTTCACTAAGGGAGTTGTTACCATTAAAATTAAAATATTATCAGGTCCAGGGTATCAAACTCATGTCATTTTAAGTGATGTGTTAGGAAATGAAATCAATTTGTGCTCAGCTCTTGTTGCTTTTGAAATTGAAATACTTGTCATGAGGATATGTACTAGTTTAAGTCTAATTTGGCTGGTTTAGCAATAAAACTGGATTTGCCAATTAGGTCATATGGTAGTCAGGTCCCATTATTTGAAAGAGCTAATCAGCAGCCACAATTTTTTAACAAAACTACAATGTAAAAGCATTATCACACAAATATGTCAAAAATATATTAGGAAGAGTCTTCAGAATATATAGGATATAAGGTTCATTTACATGAAGAAGCAACAATATTTAATAGTCATTGGATAAGTCTTGGTAAGGCATTTTTTAGGGCCTCTTTCCCAGAAAAAGTAAAGTGAGTAACTAATTATCTGACTTATTTTGCCAGTCACATGGTTTATAATTCTTTGCTTTCAACAAAATTTGGAGGACTTAATTGAGTTGTCAGTTGAAATATCATTAAAAATAACTTTTCAGGACAGATCATTATGTATTTTTGGCATATGCGTCAGAAGGAATTCAAATAATTGAGTGTTATTATTACAATAAAATGCTTTCCGTTCCCATCTACGTTTATGTGAGCAATGTTTCTCAATGCTTTACATCTATATAAAAGAAATTCAAGCCAACTGAATTCATCCATAGATATATGAACTAATTGAAAAATAAAAAAGCCCTATCTCCATTAAGTTATACATTCCCAACCAAAATTTATACGTAAGACTTGTTTTAAGCCCTGACCAGTTTGGCTCAGCGGTTAGAGCATCAGCCTGCAGTCCAGAGAGACCCGGATTCAGTTCTCGCTAAGGGCGCATGCCTTGGTTGTAGTTTGTCCCGGCCCTGGTTGGTTGTGCGGGTGGCAACCACTTGATGTGTCCCTTTCGTGTCAATGTTTCTCTCTCTTTCTCCCCCTCCCACTCTATCTGAACAAAAGATAGAAAAATGTCCTCGGGTGAGGATAAAAAAGACTTGTTTTAAAAATATATTTGATTTGTGCTTGCAGCTGCCACCACTCTCTAATGCCAGTGCCACCTCTACCTCCTCAGTTCCAGCCCAAGGAGAAGGGGGAGTAAGTAAGGAGTTCTCTCTATACCATGGCTCTTAGAAAGTGGACTGCTCACAAATCAACTGGTGGTAAAGCACCAAGGAAGCAAATGGCTACCAAAGCCACTTGAAAGAGTGTGCCCTCTACCAGAGGGGTGAAGAAACTTTATCATTACAGGCCTGGTACTGTGGCACTCTGTGAAATGAAGACCTCATCAAAAGTCCACTGAACTTCTGATTCACTAACTTCCCTTTCAGCGTCTGGTGTGAGAAATTGCTCAGGACTTCAAAATAGATCTGCGATTCCAGAGGGCATCTATTTGGTGCTGGGCAGGAGGCAGGAGGCTTATCTGGTTGGCCTTTTTGAAGACACCAACCTATTCATGCCAAGAGTGTAACACCACAAACATGGAGAATATGCTTAAGAGTCCACTGTGATGGGAAACATTTCATTCTTTAACAAACTAAAAAATAAAAATCTCTTCGTCCTGTTACTGGTAGTTCTGAACATTAGATATTTTCTTTCCCTGGGGTCAAAAGGTGCCTAGTATATGATTGCAAGTGGGAAAGAGGGGACAGAATTCAGGTACTGGCAGTTTTTCCATTTTCATTTATGTGTGAATTAAAAAAAACTTTTTTTTTTCCCCTTTATTGATTTTAGAGAGAGAGAAAGGGAGAGGGAGAGAGAGACAGAAACATTGATAAGAACATTGACTGGTCGCCTCCTGCATGTCCCCCACTGGGAATTGGGCCCACAACCTGGGCATGTGCCCTGACCGGGAATCAAGTCAGCGACCTCTTGGTGCCTGGGTCGATGCTCAACCACTGAGCCATACCAGCCGGGCTGATTTTATTTAAATGAAATGTCCAGGATAGGCAAAACTCTACAGAGACAAAAAGTAGATTAGTGGTTGTTTAGAGCTGGAGAGATGGAGGATAGTGGGAATTAACTGTTAATGTGAATAGAGTTTAAGAGAAAAAATGTTCTAAAATTAGATAGTGATGGGATTGCTCAACCCGGTGGATAAACTAAAAAAAATCCCAGAATTACATACTTTAAATAGGTGAATGTGAATTTTTAAGTATAGAAATCATATCTCAATTTTTAAAAGACCACTCATTCTACAAAACCCACTTCCTTTATAAAACCCTATCTGACCTCTCCTCATTAACAGCTGTTACTTTGGGTTATAGTTAATCTTGCACTCCTGGGTTCCTGTAGTCATAATCTACATCTCTAATCAACACTTACTTCATTCTGCAATTTGGATAGAATTTAAAGGGTTCTGAAACCAGACTGTTTGGGTTAACGCCTCACTCCAGCTACTTACTTGCTAGGTATATGACCTTGTTCAAGTTATGCTCTGTGCCTCAGCTTCCTCATGCATAAAGTGAGGAAAATAGGAGTACCTACCTCATAAGACTTTGATGTGAATGAGTTAATACACACAAAATGCCAAGAACAATGTATAAGCTAGATGTGTATGTGTTGGTGTTATTATTGTTGTATTAACTGTCTATGCCTGTCTCTTTTTCTCAGTTCATATTTTAAGGCCCTAAGGAAAAGGTAAAGTTTACGATCCATCCTTGTATTTCCCAAAGTGGAAGAACAGTATCATAGATCAGCATAAGGCGAGGAGCATGGAGGCCATGGCTCCAACCGTACCAGTACCTGCCTTCTCCAGGGTCACGACACATCAGCAGTTGGGCAAATTTAATCCAAACAAAGGGCTTATTGTCAGAAAAGATCAGAAAAAAATGTACCAGAAAGTGTTTGTTAAAACCTTTTACTTCCACTAAGGGATTTAAACCTTCCCAAATACAGAAGTACCAAATATATTAAGAGTCAACAGACTTGCCCAAAATTTCACATTTACCCACATTCATCCAAATTCCACCAAATGTTTTATTTATTCATTCTTACTGAATGCCAAGTATGCACAGGGCACCACATGCTAGACTCAGGAAATGTATAATCTATTGCTTTTGCAAGCAGATATCCTCCTCATACTACTAGGAAAAGGCATCAAAGGTATCCGCCTCTAAATATATACATGTAATGTTTACTCAAACAAAAATAACAAATTCTATACTTAACAAAATGTTATTCAAAAGGTGAAGTGAACTTATATAATTTCTTTTAACTATAGGCGTTTGACAAATTAGTATTACTGATCAAAAAGAACAGTAGATTGCTTCTGGCATAAACTGATGGGAAAATAGCTAAAAACATTGCCTATTAGAAAAAAGAAAAGCTTTCACAGACCGATGCAGTACTTGTAGAAGCCAATTTCTAGCACTAAAACCTAAAGTATGACACCTTAAATATAATGTAATGTTTATCAATTATGGAAGCAAAATATATTCTCCTCCAATTTTTTTTTTTAAATCCTCACCGGAGGACATTTTTGCATTTATCTTCAGATAGAGCGGGAGGGAGGGAGAGAGGAAGAGAGAGAGACACATCGAGTGGCTGCCACCCACACGCCAACTGGGGATGGGACCAAACTGCAACCGAGGTACATGCCCTTAGGGGGAACCGAACCCGGGACCGGTCTACGGGCCGATGCTCTAACCACTGAGCAAAACCGGCCAGGGCTCTCCTCAAATTTTATACAAACATCCCTCTGCGAGTGAGATTAAATGAAAATATTCCATTCTTTTTTTTTTTAATCCTCACCCAAGGACACTTTACCATTTTTTGTACAGATAGAGTGGGAGGGAGAGGGAGAGAGAGAGAGAGAGAGAAACATCGACGTGAAGGGACACATCGAGTGGCTGCCACCCGCACGACCAACCAGGGCCGGGGACAAACTGCAACCGAGGTACATGCCCTTAGCGGGAACCGAACCCGGGTCTCTCCGGACCGCAGGCTGATGCTCTAACCACTGAGCCAAACCGGCCAGGGCTGAAAATATTCCATTCTTTTTTTTTTTAATCCTCACCCGAGGACACTTTACCATTTTTTGTACAGATAGAGTGGGAGGGAGAGGGAGAGAGAGAGAGAGAAACATCGACGTGAAGGGACACATCGAGTGGCTGCCACCCGCACGACCAACCAGGGCCGGGGACAAACTGCAACCGAGGTACATGCCCTTAGCGGGAACCGAACCCGGGTCTCTCCGGACCGCAGGCTGATGCTCTAACCACTGAGCCAAACCGGCCAGGGCTGAAAATATTCCATTCTTTTTTTTTTTTTTTATCCTCACCCGAGGATATTTTTCCATTTTTTGTACAGATAGAGTGGGAGGGAGAGAGAGGAAGGGAGAGAGAGTGAGAAACATCGACGTGAAGGGACACATCGAGTGGCTGCCACCCGCACGACCAACCAGGGCCCAGGGACAAACTGCAACCGAGGTACGTGCCCTTAGCGGGAACCGAACCCAGGTCTCTCCAGACCGCAGGTCGACACTCTAACCGCTGAGCCAAACTGGCCAGGGCGAAAATATTCCATTCTAAGTTTTGTGATTATACACAAAAAATTTTGAGTACTCGGAAGTTCCTACACTTAAGAACGCCGATTTATATTTATTTTTTCTTCATCGATTTTAAAGAAAGAGGGAGGAGATAGAAACATCAATGAGAGCTTCAACTTGCCGCCTCCTACATGCCCCCCACTGGTGATTGGGCCCACAACCTGGGCATGTGCCCTGACTGGGAATTGAACAAGCAACCTCTTGGTGCACAGGCTGACACCCAGGCACTGAGCCTCACTGACAAAGCAAGAATGACAGTTTAATCTGGAAAGGTCTCTGTAGCTATCTTAACCTCACAACCTCATATCCTCCATATGGCACTTCTGGTTCTTCTCATAACCCACGCTCTAACCACTGTTATTTTTCCCCCCAACTAGTTAGATGCTGTTATTGTTTTTACTGATCACAATATTTTGTTTGTTTGTTTTTTTATCCTCACTCGAGGACATTTTTCCATATTTTACTCAGATAGAGCGGGAAGGAGAGAGAGGAAGAGAGAGAAACATCGATGTGAAAGGGACACATCGAGTGGCCGCCACCCACACGACCCAACCAGGGCCGGGGACAAACTGCAGCCAAGGTACATGCCCTTAGCGGGAACTGAACCCGGGTCTCTGTGGACCACAGGCTGACGCTCTAACCGCTGAGCCAAACCGGCCAGGGCCTGATCACAATATTTATAGAGCCAACTTATTCTCTTTATTTCCAAATGAAAAAGTGTGCTTTAAAAAAATAATTCACCCCAATATATTAATCATAATTCCTTCAGGCATTCCTCAAACTCAAAGCACCCATTAACAAATTGGAAGGAAAAAATATATTAATTTTGGTACACAACAACTGTTAAGTAAATATTTGCTGAGTGAATGAATCTATCAGAGAATGCTCCTGTGTCTACAAACTCATGCAGAGGAACAAAATAATCCAGGACAACCTATGTATGTGGTGTACTTGGCTATTGTAGTTTTTATTATTGAATAATTATAGATTTGGTGCCAACAATAATAAGCCCTTTGCTGTTGACATGGAAACAAAGTACAAAAGCTGTTATATATAGCTTCTGGACTGTTTTCAACATTCTGGATGTTACTGAGACTTGAGGGGAAAAGGACAAAGCAGGGTTATTGGTTCCTTTCATGATGTATACTCTAAAGTATGGGAGCCAAAATTAGATAAATAAAAGCTAATTTATGACTGGGATGATCCTAGGGCTAACAGGGACAGCACGCACTTTATCCCTACTTACAAGACAGGTACCCAGAAAAAGTTTTCATTTCAGTAAGTGAAGAAAAGCCTTAGGGCCCTGGTTCTTTGCTGTATAATGTAATCAGTTGGGATTTTTGTTTTAAGGCGTTAGCAGTACTGCCCTCACTACATGCTAATTGGACAGTACCACAACCCCAAGAAAAGGATGCTTTACTGGGGATTTAAAAAAATGTACTGGCTCCCAGCTCCAAAATTCTGAGCTAATTGGCATCAGGCACAACCTGGACATTGGGATTTACAGAACTCCGGAGATTATTATAATAAATAGCAATCTAAGAACCACTGCCCCAGAGCTTGAAATGCATGACTTTCAACAACTTACACCTGAGGTCTGAGAATCTTCAGCTGAGTGAGGATGTCCTTCTGTACCCTGGGATTAGCTGTGGCAGTAAGAGTCATCACTGGAACAGAGGGAAATTTCTGGCAAAACATATTCATTCTTTTGTAATCTTGACGAAAATTATGTCCCCACTAGTTGGGAAAAAAAACACTGCTTTTCAGACTATTTGAATCTTCCTTATATACAAAGCCAACACTGCTCACTATATTCAGAACCACCTTATTCTTCAGCAAAATAGCAGAATAATTCACCCAATGTTTTTTCTCTCTTCAATTCTGAAAATAGATATACTATTGGTAGTATATATTTATCGGTATTTCAAAACATAAAAGACAGTATTTACCTGACTGACACAATGTGCTTCATCAATAACAAAGCGTGCCAAGAGCTTCCTCTCATACAGATTTTCCAGAGTAGAAATCAGTCTGTTACTTGCACAGACCTAGATCAGAAATGGATTAATTAGACATTTAAAAATATTAAAACACCACATCACCTAAAAGGTTCTGTTGTCTTTAAGTTCCACTACAACTTAAGCCGCATTAAAATCCTCAGAGAAAATTGGTTCGTATTCCAATCTATGAAGTGAATTAGCAGAAGTAAGAAAAAATAGCAGAGACATTTTAGAATGTTTAGAAAACAGTTATGTATCAAGGTCAGTGGTTCTAAAACATTTTTCTGGATCTCTATATACCTAAGGGTCATGTTTACGCTGGGAACAGTGTTATGGATGTTATTTGCATGCTTATTACTTGGGGAGGGGATACATACACATACATATATACATATGTGTATATATGCATATGTTACATACAAAAATTTGTTTGTACATATATATTTTGTAGCTGTCCATGGCAGGGCCTAGAAGCAATGACACCTAGTATCAACAACCACATCTGATATTTCATCTGACAAACATGTCAAAAGGACGAACAGGCCAGTTTGATGGAGGTCCCACAATGGCCAAATCCAGGACAATAATTAGAACATTAAACTACATAACAAAAATCTATTCTGGCCCATTATATAAAAGTCCATAATTTCATATTAATATAAATAAATATATAGGTAAAAGGTAAAGCTCTTTGTTATAGTAAAATGCCAAATGAATTAGAAAAATCATCATTTGGCATCCATTGATGATAAAAGTCTCATGAGTAACAGGGTATTTATAGTCTCAGAGTATCCCATAACAAAATTCCTACTATTACAAAGGCAAAAAATTACTTAAAATCTTACATTTATTATAAAAAGAGAGAAAAAAAAGGTAATTTTACAGTGAAGAAATCCAGCAGTACCCTGGCCAGTTTCACTCAGTGGTTAGAGCATTGGTCTGGGGACTGATGGGTTGCAGGTTGGATCCCTGGCCCTGGTTGGGGTCATGCCGGAGGCAACCAATCAATGCATTTCTCTTACATCGGTGTCTCTGTCTCTCTCTCTTTCTCCCACTCTTTCTAAAACCCAATGGAAAAATAGCCTCCAGTGAGGACTAACAAAAAAGAAATCTGGCAGTTACCACCTTAAATAGGTAATCAGGTTAATTAACATCACCAATAATACAATAAACTGACATCAAATGCCTCCTGATTGGATGCACTGAGAACTTATTAGCACTTCTGATGTTCCTTCCAAGATGAATAACTTGAATCTAATCACGAGGAAACATAAACAAACTCAAATTGAGGGACAGTTCTCAAAATAACTGGACTTTACTTTTCAAAATTGTCAAAGCATGAAAGACAGAGACAAACTAAAGAGACATGACAACTAAATGCAATTCACAATCTAAGATTTTCTTTTGCTATGCAGGACATTATTAGGACAACTATTGAAAATGAAGTAAGGTTTATAGACTAAGTAATAGTGTCGTATAAATGAACATTTTCTGATTTTTATCATTGTACTGAGATAATGCAAGAGAATTTATTGTTTTTAGAAAATTCATGGTAAAGTATTTAGGATTAAAAAGATATCATGTTTGCAACTTACTTTTAAATGTTTAAGAAAAAGTAGAAAGAATGATAAAAGCAATTACAGTAAAATGTTATCATTTGGGATTTCTAGGTGAAAGTCATACAAGAATTCTTTGCTATACATCAGAAATATGTCAAAATTAAAAAATATATTCTATTGAACTTTTAGGAGATAATAGAAAAATATATTGGTTCACACCCTCAATTCCTGGCACATAGCTCATGAAACCCTTGTAATTTCCTAAGTGATAAGAACACTAGGAGCATCATTTACTCTGTTGAGTCGACTCTGCGTGGGCTCCTGGATGGGGGCTGGTTACCAGAAGGACCAACCCATGATTAGAACCCTGACATTTTCAGCCTCACTCCCCATCCTCCAGACGGGATAGAAAGAGAGTTAATAATTGATCATGCCTACATCAAGAAGCCTAAATAAAATCCCCAAAGTATGGGGTCAAGAGTTTAAAGGTTGGCAAACACATCCACACCAGGAGGGTGATATTCCCCTACTCCACAGGGACAGAAGCTCCCATGCTCAGGACCCTCCCAGACCTCATCCTACGTTTTTCTCCATTTAGTTATTCATCTGTATCTTTATCATGTCCTTTAATAAACTGGTAAACTTAAGCATTGCCCTTAGTTCTAAGAGCCATGATAGCAAATTAATCAAACCTGAGAAGGGAGTCATAGAAACTTCTCATTTGTAGCCAAATCGGACAGAAGTTATGGGTAACCTGGGGACCTACTACTTTGTGATTGGCATCTGAAGTGGAGAGGGAACACTCTTGTGGGACTGAGCCCTTAACCTGTGGGATCTGACACTATCTCTGGGTAGGCAATGTCAGAATTGAGTTAAATTGTAGAACACCCGTCTGGTGTCACAAGAATTGCTTGGTGTAAGGAAAAAAACCTCCACACATTTGGTGACAAAAATGAAGTCTCCTATGTGACTGGTAAAGGAGAGAAACAGAGGACGAGAAGACTGAGTTTTCCCCTACACAGAAGGGAGAACAAAATTGTTTTCCTAACACAGCTCTAATATCTTATTTTAAAATAATGATAAAATACAAACCTTCTCTGGAGTAACATATAAAAGTTTTATAATTGGGTTTTGTTTTTTTTTTTTGATAACTGGAGATAAATATTTGTAGCTTCTGAGTCAGTCTTATCACCTGTCAGATATGTAGCTGGAATCTAAGTATAAAAGTAATTAACAATGTAAATTTTACACATTAATCTGATTTATGCTTATATTTATCCTTAGCTTTTATAAATATTTTATAAGTCATATGTCAAAGCTGTTAAAGGAAAGACAATCTCCATGTAATAAAAATAACAAATTATTAGTACATAGTACATATTTTAAAAACCCTTATTAACTATAATTTAAAATATTGTTTACTTCCTTTTTTTCATTTCTTTAATTTCTTTGCTCTTCATATTTGTATGTAAGATAAATATGAATTCAGCATCCAAAAGATCCAGTCCTAATGTACAGCTACATTCTTTTTTAGGTAAATGTATCTTCAGGGTTTCAATGTGTAACAATGATGAAAGGGCCATAACATCATGACTGGTTGAACAATGGCTACCATCACTGCACTGAAATATTCTTTGGAAGAAAAATCAAACCAGTGGTCTTGTGGAAAGGTAGTGGCTCATAACCCTGAAAACAGTTCTGTCTGATCACAATATGCAGGGTTTAGTAGAATGCATTCATATATTTTCTTAAACTCAGCCAGGAGGAAAAAGACGTGTGGGCACATGCATGTGTATGCATTTAAAAATGTTAAGGGAGGCCCTGGCTGGTTTGGCTCAGCGGTTATAGCGTCAGTCTGCGGTCCAGAGACCCAGGTTCGGTTCCTGCTAGGGGCACATATCTCAGTTGCAGTTTGTCCCCAGCCCTGGTTGGTCGTGTGGGTGGCAGTGACTTGATGTGTCCCTTTCACGTCGATGTTTCTCTCTCTCTCTCTCTCTCTCTCTCTCCCCCTCCCTCCCTCCCACTCTATCTGAACAAAAAAATGGAAAAAATGTCCTCGGGTGACGATTAAAAAAATAAATATATAAAATAAAAAATAAATAAAAATGTTAAGGGAGTAAGGTAAGAACTGTGCTGATCTGGCAGTAATTATAAAATTTAAAAACTCCTTTCATATTAATTTAAAAAATTCAATATACAAGTTAAAACTTTTTGCTAAAATAAGTTCTTCTAGAATAAAATCAGATGGAACTATAGAAGGTTATCTGTATGAGAATATTCTTAAAAAATTCTTTTTCTTTATTGATTTTTAGAGAAGGGAGAGGGAGAGAGATAAAAACATTGATGAGAGAGAACATCTACTGGCTGCCTCCTGCATGTCCCCCACTGGGAATTGGGCCCACAACCTGGGCATATGTTCTGACCGGGAATCAAACCAGCGACCTCTTGGTGCATGGGTCAACACTCAACCACTGGGCCACACCGGCCAGGCAAGTATGAGAATTTTCAAAGACCTGTGCTGAAAGGTACAATTTAATGTAACAGCTGTATTTTACTCTTTTTTTCTTTTTCAATTTTTTTTTTCTTTTTTGATTTTAGAAAGAGGAAGAGAGAGAGAAACATCAATGAAAGAGAATATCTATCGGCCGCCTCCTGCATGCTACCCCACTGGGGATCTAGCCCACAACCTGGGCATGTGCCCTGACTGGGAATTGAACCGGTGACCTCTTGGTGTTTGGGTAGATGCTCAACTACTGAGCCACATCAGCCAGGCTGTACTTTATTCTTATAAGCCACACACTATTAAATAAAAAGGTACCCCAGAATACTAAATGTAATTATTTTTAAGTTATGTTTT